CTGTTCAGGAGGCGAGCGAGAAGAGCAGCGCTCGGACACACAGGGAAGCCACAATTATGGAAGCGAATGTTCCTGCTTTACAAGATGGCTACATCAATTTCCTTAGGATTGGCAACCCGATGGCCGAACGATATGCGTGCTTCGCCGCAGTTGAGAGCATGCGACGCACGCTTGCCCATAAGATTGTATGTCTAGCAACCAAAAGCCGAGAAAGTGCTACTGTAGCTGGAGCTCATGTTTACTTCGTTCGATCAAATTTTCGACTGGGAACAATCTCGACTAAAGGTTACCCGAGAGCAGTTGGTGGGGATCTGCGAAATGTCTGTATTAAGGAGCGCTGGTTGGCAACCTGTCGTTTGAATGATGCGCTTCAGTTTAATATTTGCGCTGGATGGATGTGTAGTGTAACGAAATTACACAAACGGCTGTGATAAACGGATACACTGGCATGATAAAAGCAAAAGTGTTAAGTTTCACTGATTGAAGTATTTTTGTATCACATGCACTAAGCGGTAATACCGTACCTTATGAGTTACGGATAGACGGTATCTATCTTAACAGATTTCATAAAGCACGGCGTAATTCCAGTGTGGTAACACTAGAAGAACGTCCATCTGAACCTTTCTATTCAGTGGTACACTTTAAACCAAAAATACGTAAGTGAGTTTATAATCGCTATAAATCAGTGAATACATTCATTACCCCTTTTGATCAGTTTCTGACACGTGTCTTTATAAGACGTCTGTGATCGTAAAAGTTAAGAGCATGTTATAAGGCTAGTACTCTTGAATATCAGTGCCACACGATTCCTTGGAGTCGTAGTCTCCTGAGCCAGGACGAGAAGCTTACGAGCCTGTATAAATGCTTGGAGCTAAGCCTAACTAAGTCTGCAAGAACTTGAGACCCCTCAAATTTAACCCTTTAGTATAATACACTAAGAGACTCTGCGAGTCTATAAGTCTTTCTCTGACATAGGAGTAGCGTAGCTCCGTTAGACTTGGTAGATTGAGAAAATCATTACAGCACTTTTTATCGCATTCACATGGGATTCGTAGGAGACACGATGACGTTAGTTAATGGGGCGTTCTCACTTAAGAGTTCATGTTGATAAAATTGTGCCTCCCGGTGAATGGTATGCAAGTAGCCGACCTAAAAACTGTAAACAATCACGAGTCGAGATTTAGACTTATGACTATCTTGAGCCTTAGCAAGAAAATCATTGTCCAGTGTCAGGGACGGTCGAAGGGGGTTCATTTTAAGGAGTTGTGGTAAAAGGGATAGTTGCACGAGGTCGGTGATATTTTTTGTAACTGCTAAAGGTGGAAATCTGTTATCGTTCATTTACTTCGACGGGGGTGGTGGATGCTTAACGCCTCCTTTCTCAACAACTTTATCATTTGGGCTTGCAGCAATGTTTTACCCTCGCCCCTCTCTGTTAGAGACATTTTTTTGTGCCCTTTTCTTACAACGTATCTTATAAAAATTCTCTTTTCGAGAATGCATAAGAATTGCTTGCATGTTTGTAACGACAAAAAATTAAATATTGAGGCATTTCGGTAACGCTACAGAACACGTCCATATATGCAATGATATGCAACGTTTGTTTACAATACGAAGTTTCTCATATTGAGCTGTTTCGCTCTGGCGTGCCATTTCTTACAAATACCCGATGAAAACTTATCCCGGTCTGACTGAAAGATACGCATGTCTCTACATGAGCGCAAGAAATACAACTTCAAAAGCAGACAGCCTTTTAGTGCTTCTTTTGCACTGACATGCGCTTGATCTCTGTTGCTTTCGACTTCCGCGGTCTCCACTTCCGCTAAAAAAGACCTTCTTGTTCTTCACAAATCTGCTCGTGGTCCTCGATCACAACATAATCCTACACGCTAACACTTACTCCTATAATTTAATCGTATCAGCCAGATTGAAGCAGTCTTGTTGGAAGGCGAGGTTGGAATTTCGATGATCATTTATGCCAACTAAATCGCAAACTGTGGTGCTTTGATAATCTTACTCTTGATCCAGAAACTATTAATGAATACCCATGCGCTATCGCATATAAACTTTCTTGTAGCAAGGGTTTAGCAATCGGATGATATTTATTACCATAAATGTAGCTGATCTACTTGGCGCTCTTTAACAGAGAAAGTCATATACTTAAAGAGCCTTATTGTCATAAAAAACTAATACGACTTAAAGTCTTTCAAGTGTACAAGCTTAAAAACTCAGTCCCAAAGGGAATTACAATTCACAGAATCACGCACTAACTTGTCACTACTAATTAAACAAGAGTAAACGCCTTGACAAGGCTAACACTCTTAAAACACGCTGTGTCTTGACTAGGCACTAGCGTCCAACGAATCAAAAGGGGAACTGAACTTTGTTTATTCTTAAACTACGTCAGTAAAACCCTAAAACCTTGCCTGACTGACTTTTACATTACGATCCTATGACAGAAGTCTGATTCCTTATCCTTACCCGATAAGGTGCGGTATTACCACAAGTACGTGATACCAAGACTGAACCACTCAGATCCACCGATCTTTACTTGGTTTGGTTACACAACATAACCGGTTCAAATAACTGCGTGTAAACCCGTTACATGACGTGTTCCGTACCATTAAAAGTCGATTGTTTTTCTTAAATGCCCTGACGTATGCCACCCCATCTAAAAATTAACCGGATGCTCGGAAGGAAGTCAGGACCATTCAAGAGTTTATGATTGTTAATTGCTCCGACGTATGTCATCGCCATCTGGAGGTGTATTGGATGCTGCGAAAGATGTCAGGATCATCCGAGAGTCTATATTATTTTAAATGCTCCGACGTATGCCGTACGAGCATACAAAAGATGTAACATGGCCCTTTTTGTTTGGAATGCTGCAAAATTTTTATGTTCACTAGGACGTGCAGAGGAAGCTAATCTACTCAAACAGATCGTTTAAGAAAAGGGTAAAAAGAGAACTGATTTCAATATAGTTAAGCTATCAATATAACTTTAATCTTTTCAAACTTTGTAAAACTACGTCGTGGTATGACGACAACCTGTTCACCATTCATTACGCGCGTCTAGCAGCGATTGGTGGTAACCTTGGTTAGTATGTCTTCTACCAACCTATCGTTGAGCAGCGCATGATTATTATCCTAAGAGGGGATGATATTCCCTCAATAATATCCATAACGGATAATATTGGTAGGGAATTGTCACTCTAGACAATCTCCCTATTGACACCGTTTGGTGATAATAGCATGTAACGAGATACCCCGTTACCATAGACCCTCAGATGAATGTGGCATCCACTTAAAGAAGCATGTCTTTAGCCTAGGTTTTGCGTGTAGTAACGTGCGCAACCTTGACTGGTAAGGTGTTCGATATCGTGATGTATACAAGACAGTCACCCCTGGCAAGTATGCGCTGTACAGAGCGAATGGAAACCAACAAGTCGTGGCTTCTTGTTGCCATTCTATTCGCCATTTGCCGTTTTCATCGCGGTTACGAACGATTTGTGCCGCTGATTTTTGCTTAATGATACAATCATACCATTACATTATGCTGAACGTTTGTATGCCAATATGTACAATTTATTTGTCGTAGTGGACAAAGCAATTATTTGTATGTGAGGTCCCTTTACGTCTACAAGATCGCGATCGTTAACACACAAAGGGTGTTTCTATCAGTAAAATACACTACACATCTAGATTGCTTCTGCTAAGTCGTAAAACTGACGAAGCAGTGCAGGAAAGTACAGGTGTACGTTATTTATTGGGAATTGTTATTTGCATGCACACTAATTTACTAAATGAACGCCTTTTGATACCTGTAAATATTATTGTCAAGTGCACGCCCTTTATCAAAAAGTTTTACTCTTCGACGCTGGAGTATCAAGCGATAGTCTTGTCGTCAATCACAAGGCTTGCAGAATCGTTGATGTAAATACGTAGAAGTACCGATCCTTCTCGTCTTATGCTGGAACTTACTGGTAAGGAGAAAACGTGGTCCAAGCCTACAAAAAAATCCGTCGAACCAAAAAATGAAGGATGCAGTAAAAGAAGTTGAGACAATGAAGGGTTGGTACTTTGAAGCGTTTGAAGCATCCTCAAGGATACACACGCGTTGAAAATTTCAGCACTATAACGATCTTTGTTTTTTTAGACGTCGTGGCATGGTCTGCTACATTGATAGTGGTGAATGATTGAGCTTGAAATTATGACTCGTAGTGCCGGTTATTCATTTTGACCCGAGCATGTCGTTGGAAACTGCAGCCGCATTTCGTTGTGGCCACTTTACGCTTGAACGTTTCTTCGAAAATCCGACGTAGTGTTCCGCCGCGATCGTATACCAATCATACGAGCAGCCTCCGGTATATCTTGCAACTGAAACGGTATATCCCTACGTGCAAGTAAAAGCATTTACGGGAGGCACAAAGATTCTCGTAGGTGTCATAGATCTGTTTTGGTGGGGTGAACTTACATGTGACATAAATCAGGATTACTTGTGATCTGCTCTGTCTTGTTTTTTAATTGTTGCTCTCGTGGCAATAAATCAGAGCCAAGGCCGGTCACATTTGACAGAAATAGGCTGTTATTAAATAAAGGGTCAGCTAAAAATAGCCTCCGGGTGGTTGCGAAGCCAAAAAAAGGCGTACATTAACAAGGCTTGCCTTTAACAATTTTTAGGCGTGGCTTAACAATTCCTTATCTATTATCTGGCGCAAGGTGTAGTATTCCACAACGTTTGTGTTTAATTACACACGGTTTAAGCTCCGCGCTCGAAATTCCCTGTCATCCCCCCAATTTTAGACGTGGTTTAACAATTCCTTATCTATTACCTGGCGCAAGGTAAAACGCAAGCTCGTGCTTTGCACCTGATGAGAAAGAGTGACGTAATTCATAAAATCGACCCATAACACCCATCTCGTTTTCCACGTTTTGCACCACCACGTCCACTTTACGCACCTAATTCGGGCCACAACATCGTCAATCAAGCGCAAAAAAGACATGACGTCGCCGTTAAGGCTACGTCTCCTCTGCCTAAGCGCTGGTGTGGGCGCGTTCTTGAGCACCAGTGGCCTCCTCCGTCTCCACGAAGTCTTCTCGCCGTCTTCTTCTCCACCTCTGAATCCACAGGAGCACACGAAGCAGCAGCAGCAGGACGCGGACCACCGTCTGGACGTTGCCTATGACCGACTCGTTGTCGTGTTGATTGACGCGTTACGCGCCGATATGGTCCTTGGAAGTGGTGCAATGCGCAAGGATCAAGAGGCTGATGGATATGACGGAAAGGAGGAACTGAACGTCTTTATGCCGTTTACGAGGGCGCTCGTGACGTCGGGAAGCGCTCTTGGGTATGTTGCGCATGCCAGTGTCCCGACTGTGACGATGCCCCGTGTCAAGGCACTTGTGACCGGGAAAGCCCCTGTGTTTATTGACATTCTGAAAAATTTCAATTCAGGAGCTCTGGAGGAAGATGCGAATCTTGTGTCGTTGATGGCTACAAGTGGGAAGCGCGTGGTGTTTTATGGAGACGATACGTGGCTCAAGTTGTTTCCAACGACGTTTGCTAGAGCTGAGGGGACTTCTGGATTTTACACGAGGGATACAGTTGATGTGGACAATAATGTCACGAGGCATCTGACGGAAGAGCTGGACCCGACGATGCAGCATGCGAAGAGTGGCGACTGGGACGTGTTGGTGCTTCATTACCTGGGACTAGATCATGTTGGGCATCTGCGTGGACCGAGATCGAGACTCATGCAGAAGAAGATGCAGGAAATGGACCGTGTCATGCAGCTTGTAGTGGACTCGGTACGGGAACAAGACGCATGGCGAAAGAAGAAGGATGAGTCGGCTCGGCCGTCGCTGATCTTGTTATGCAGTGATCATGGTATGTCAGAGGTTGGCAATCATGGCGGGGCCACACTGGAAGAATCCTCGGCGCTGTTGATGTTTATGCGTGGTGACGGTGAGCCAATGCTGTCCTCAGCTGATGTTGCGTACAAGCAACAGCGCAGTCAGGTTGACCTGGTGCCTACGATCTCTCTACTATTCGGACTACCCATTCCACTCTATAGCACGGGGTTACTACTGGATGATGTTATCCGTGCTTCGTCAGGGTCAGTTTTACGCCGCAGCTCATACTATGTGCGCGCGTTATACCGCAATTTCCAGCAGCTGTATGCGCTTGCCAAGACAAAGTTTCCTGCCTCGGCGTTGGCGAGTTTTGACCATCAATTTGAAGTGCCTTTACACCAGCTGCACAAAGGCTTCCAACTAGATGAAAAGGACTTTGACGTTGATCACCAGACGACGGTGATGGTGCTTCGAGCCTGTGAGATATTGCAGGCCAAAGTCGGGCAGAGTGATGGTTCTGAGTACAATATGGTAGCGACCTTTTCCGGCCTGCTACTTTTGTTCGCTAGCAGTGTTGTTGCAACGGCAATACTCATAGCGCATTATCAAGTGGATGTGAAAAGCAGAACGAAGCAAAGCACGATCAACCGCTTGTTGTTTGCTGTTGTGGGTGTAGGCAGCGTGCTGCAGATTGCCAGCTTGTCATCAAGCTCATCTATCGAAAATGAGCATGCTACTGCGTTTTTCATGACGACATCATTGCTCGTTACAGTCATGATTCTTCTGTTACGGCGAGAGAACTCGGCACCTGACTCTCCCCGTCCGGGTGCTGTGGTAGCAATTGTTGGGCTGTTGCTGATTGTTACACGTATGCTCCGCGCACGCAACCAGGTCATCAACTTCTGGCGACTTAATGGGCTTGTGATTGATCCCAAATTACCTGGAAATGAATTTGCAAAAGACGACTCTGTGTCGATCTTGTCCACGGCTCCCATGCTGCCTTCGAGCACTTTGCCTTTGGGTGTCTGCATAGCCTTCGTATGCGGGATCGTGCTGCGAAAAACTGCACGACACACCATAAGAGCCTTGCGGATAGGAGCATTGCTACAGTTCGTTGTGGGAGCTTGTAGCGGACTACTGTTTGGAGCTGGCATGTTAGCTTGCCTTGCAGTTAAGGAACTTTCCAACAGGATTGTCGTGGACGAAACAGGATCTAGGTCATGGACACGGTGGATGCCACCGGACGCCGATGCAAGTGCGCTTGTGGTGTATGCAAGCATCGTCTTCATTTCGATGTTTGCTGTCCTTGCTACACGAACTCTGCGTCTATCGCTGGTTGAAATGATTGTGTGGCTTCTGGTTTGCCTGCTTCAGCGCGACGCTAATTACCCGACACTGTGTCTGCTTTGTTTGCAACTGGAATTGGTAGCCGTGTTGCTTGAGTACGAGTCGAGTCGTGGCATTTGCCATACTGGGATCACTGTGGCGGGTCTAGCCTCGTGGCTATCGCAAGCCGCTTTCTTTGCACTGGGGAACTCGCACCTGGTGACCACGGTTGACATCAGCCAGTCTTATCATGGTTTGTCGTCGTACTCGCAAAGTCTCGTCGGCACATTGACGTTTGTCAGTGTGTTTTCTGGTCCGCTTCTGTGCTTCGTACAGCTTGCTCAATGGTTAGACACCACTGCGCCTGGTAAAACATCGACAAAGTTCACTAGACTCTTGGTACTGGACATTCCGCGGTCGACAAGTACAAGGTGGACAACTTGCCTCGCGTTGTTTGCTTATCAAACGCTTCGTTTCGCCGTGTACACGTACGTATCGATGAAAGATGGATTTCTATCGTACTGTTTACTAACTCACTGATGTGCTCGCTACTGGTTAGTGTCGTGGTTTCCTTTATGCGCTTTCATTTGTTTATCTGGAGCGTCTTCGCGCCCAAGGTAAGACTTTCTGCCGTATTTTTGGACTCAAGAATGTGCTCTGACGTGCATGTCTATGCTATGATAGATGCTGTACGAGTTTGCTCACCTTGCTGTGTCGCTCGTACTTGTGGTTATGCTGGCCCCGTCCTCACAGCAATGAAGGAACAGGCACACTAGTGCATATCGCAGCTGTCTCGTAGATGTCAAGTCACGACTAGCACTTGTCAAGCAAAACTATCCCGGAATTCGTAACACTCCAAGAAAAAGAGAGAAATATTCTGCTATTTTAGCCCCCCGCCTGCACCCAGCAACTGCTTCCCCACTAGACACCACGTACAGACACCGATGGACGTCTCAAGTGGCGCCCTCGCCTTCCCTAACAAGTAGAAGTAGACTACAACGCGAAATCAATGCTGAAATCTACAAGGCTCCAAGGCGTCTCCCCGCTAGATGCGCACACACGGCAACACACAGGATAAACCTTTGGCTGAACGCGAGCTTAAGAGAGGTCCTCCTTCTTGGCAATAATTTGCTCCGTGCCACAGGCCTTCAGGACCGTGAGCACAAGCTGTTTGCCATCATTGAAATCCGCACGGATCTCTTCGCCAAAAGTTTCAGGGAACGTAGGCAGCTTAATGTCCTCACGCGTGTCTCCCGAGTCGTCCATGAGCGAGCAAAAGTCGTCGTCCGTAATGTCCAGCAGCGTGTACTCCGCACGCGAGACAAAAGGCACCGACGTCGTGTGCGTCGACGGCACAATGTCCTCGTACTTCTTGTTGGTAAAGATGTCCAGCGCCGTAAAGTTACACTTGGCGTGCCCGTGCTTGCCTGTCTTGGAGGTCGACATGTTCACGACCTTGCACGGGTGGCCCTTGATCATGATGAAGCCGCCCTTGCGGATCTGTCCCGCTTCGCTCGGGTACGTCTCCGAGGCACCAGCATCAGTCGAGTGGAACGTGAAATCTTGCTCCTCTTCAGCCATTGTATGTGTGTGAGTTTTGCGTGTGTGCTGCACAGAAAGAACCTATACAAGTAATCACCATGATCGTAGTTTAGTTGCCGTGGGTTACATGTACGAACACAGTAGAAGATAGATAGGGTCACGTGATGCTAAGGCAGAGCGAAACCTCCGGAAATGAGCGAAAGGCTGTTTCAACATCCTCGCCAGCGCGTAATGCACTGGAGCTATGGAGTTGGACAAACCCCTGCGTCTGCACTATCACAAGGAGCTCCATCACTTGCCTGCCCAGCACACGGGTCGAGCGTGGTCGTACCTTGGAAAGGGGAACTTAAGTGATGATCGAAAACGGAGTGCCGGCTTTCGCTGGCCAATAATTATTCGCGCCAGCTGTTACGAGGAGCCACACACTCTCACTCCACGTAAGCGAGCTTGGAATAGCAAAGCGCGCGCTTAAATTCGGACTCACCGTCGATAGGAGGGACGGACTTGACTGTAGCCATGTTCGATGCTCTTTTGATGCGGTGCAGAGCCTCGACGATACGAGCCCGAACGAGAAATTTAGAAATCGCTGGCACAGGTGTAATAGAAATGCACTTTGTTTGCGAGCAAAATGCAATACCGATTCAATCACCGATAGTACCAGTTTTGATCACTGGGGGGTACGTTGTACCCAATCAGCGCCCATTTCATACCGCACTATGTGACATACTTACATTTTGATTCAATCACGCCTCACTTAATGACATACTTGAATCTTGGATAACGGCGAATCAACAACCAGCAGCAGTAGCTGTAGCCAATCAGCTCCTGCACCAAGACGTCCTCATCCTCCCGAAGGCAGCATGGCAGAGCCGCACATGAAGACAGCGGGCGTCGCGCAGTACATTCGCCACCAGGACGACGTGCCAGCCAATGCCATTGCGCCCACCGACGATGTCATGACGGAGTTCAAGCTGCTCAAGATGCGGCGCAAGTACCGCTACATTTTGTTCCGCATTGAGGCCGACAAGGTGATCGTGGACCTGACAGCGCCACGGTCGGCCACGTTCAAGGACTTTGACGCTGCGCTGCCGGACTCCGACTGCCGCTACGCCGTGTACGACCACGAGTTCCGGACCGCCGACGGTCGTCCGTCGAGCAAACTCTTTTTCGTGACGTGGATCCCGCAGAACTCGCACCCGGGCTTCAAGATGGCGTACACCCACGCCAAGAGCGCCATCCAGAGCGTGTGCGAAGGCTGTTTCGAGGTCAGCGCCGTGATCAAGAAGGAGATTGCGCTCGGCTTGGACATTACCGACGGAAACGCCTCAGACTCGAACAGCGAGTTCGAAGATGACTAGGCTGTTGCCATTTGCTCCCTGCGCGTAGCCGACTGCTGACTTGACGCAAATAAAGTGCTTGGGATGTTGGAAAGCACACCCATACGAAGGCGGGATATGGTTAGTGAGTCTGGCTCGATTCGACACGAGTGGTTGCATGTTTTTTGGACTTCTGGACGGGCGGGACCCCTCATGGTCTCTCGTCTGTTGTCTTCTAACAAATCACATGTGCCTGCAATTGTTTAAATCATCACTTTGACATGGGAGCCTTGTGATGATGCTGTCGCTATTTGTTGCGCATCGCGAGCATTCGCTTCTTTAGTGCCTGCTCCGCCTCAAGATTCATGCGCTTCCGCTCTTTTGCACGGTTTTCTTGCGCCTGGTACTCTGCGCGCTTGCGTTTTTCGTTACGGGCCTTTTCGACGGCACGGGTGTGCTTAACATACACGAAACGAGTGTATTCGTGGGTGAACTTGCGCAGCACTGCGACGCCAGGTCCGTTGCGACAACGAAGCATGTCATACGCAGTCTCCAACTTGTTGAGCGCATACGAATCATACGGACGTACCAGACGCATCACTTCATCAAAATGTGCTTGAATAGCTGGCGTTATAAGCGACGGCGTCTCCTTCCTTACTGGCAGTGAAGTCGGCACGTGAGTCGTGGTGGCGGTAGCAGGTAGCATCGGTTTCCACACTTTCGAGTCGACGGTAGACGGACGAAACTGCTCGGAAGTAGTTGTTGCTGCTGTAGAGGTCCCAGATATCGATGTATCCCTTTTTCCTAGGGACGGCTCCGTAGAAGCAGCTTCGTTCAAGTCAGGTGCCCTATATGCAGTTAAAGCTGAAACTGACGATGCCACAACTGTGGACGTGGCAGTACCACTGCCTGCCTCGGAAGAAGCAGCTGAAGCAGGGTAGGGATGTGGTTGGACGTTGGAAGCTGCTGCACCAACAAGGCGAATGATCCGAGCAACGCAAGTAAGCCACTTCGTCGTTCGCTGAACATTGATCCGATCCATCTTGGGAGGCCTTGTAGCTTGATGAGCCACTGCGTTCTGTCCTATCGTGTTGCCATTAGGTTTGCCGTCAGTCGACTTTGCCAACCATTTGCGAGATGAAGCGTCTGGTCCGTAGCAGTAGCCTTTGGCACCAACAGGATTAATATAGCAACCGTTCTGCACAAACTTGCTCTCCTTCTTCTCGAAATCCAATCGTTTCGCTTCCTTGCAGGACCCAATCAGTCCACGCGTATTGACCGCGGCACCACAGACACCACAAATGACATCACCAGTCACACTTGAAAGCCCTTCTGGTATCGCAACGTCCTTTTGCACACCGTTCTGCACGATCGAGATTGTCTTTCGTTTATTCGTCGTACTCGTGCTTCCTTCCACTTGGTGATGCTTCTCAGGCTCGCGAACGCTTGATCGGCGCTTTGTGCACCTCCAGTGCTGAACGTGCGGGATCGCAGATTCTGATTCTATGGAGCAATAAAATAAGTGTTGTCGCTCGTGAAAAGGATCCAGACACACGGCACAAGTGTATTGCTGACTGGATGGTCCGGGATACTGGGCGGAGTATCCTGGTGGATCGAATGTTCTTTCAAGACGACGAACCAGTCTTGTATCATTAACAAACTCTCGTACAGACATCGGCGGCAGCGCATACACCTTTTCAAGCTGTGGCACATGGCCCAAGAAGAACTGGAGCACCTGCAAGTGTTTCACGTTGTAGTCAGGCGGGTCACTCTTGCTAGCACGCAGGCCTTTCGCACAGTAACCAATCATCAAGGCTGCCAGATCGCGCATCACGGCAGCAGCACTGGCATAATCCGGTAAATGCTTTGCAACAGTGCCAAATCGACGCATGTCGTCGCGACCAACAAGGAGTCGGATAGGGCGCGTAATCAATTTAGTTAAAAGATCGCCAATGTCCTCAGTACACTTGCGATGACGGTCACAGTACGCATGAAACTGCATGATACGACCCGTCCGAAGCTCCACGTGGCCATTTCCTTGGTGTGCGCACATGACGTGGAAATCGCGACCGCACTGGACTCGGCGACACTGTATACGAACGCCACGACTTGATTTGCAGAAGCAGCAGTCACCAGACGGAACTAGATCTCTCCGCAACACCTCCTTGATATCGGGCATGACCTCTTCAGCTTGCTGCTCGATACAACCTTCTGTCTTGTTCTCTACTTCTTTCCTGCTCGCCTCTGATCCAACGTCCTTTGCAATCTCCTTCTTCGACACTCTCTCCACAAGCTTCATCTTGCTCTCCTTCACAACGTATGCAGCCAAGCGACGTGGATCCCACTTGATACACAGCACGTGCCCAAACTGCACCGTATCCATCGGCCCAGAGTCGCTATCGCTTGAAAACCGAGCGTACCAACTCCAAAAAAAAGCCACGTCGTCATCACCCACCTCCACCAGTTCCTTCAAAACACCTCCGCTCTTCCCACAGTACACACAATCGATCTTCTGTCGCTGGACGCCTCGTATACAGCAGTCGCATCTCCAGCCTGCACTCTTCAAGGCGCTTTCTTCCAATCGACTGCTCTTCCTCGTCGTCCCTGTGACGTGCAGAGCGTCTGCGTAACAGCGCTCATGAACGGCAAGTTTGCAGCTCATACAGATATGCAGTTGATCGCCGGGTGCGTTGCTCTCAATGAGGTCGCACTCGGTGCATCGCAGCTGCTGGTCCACGCACGCGCTTGTCGCCATGGCGGGGTCTGGGTGAAAATACACTCGAGCGATTGGCTTTTATTGTTGTGTCTGCATGTTGATTGGCACATAATTTTAAGCTCGTCTACAAATTTGAGCACTGCATATCAGAGACGGACTACTTGTTTGGTCCAAACCGGCGTCTGCTCAAGTTTTTTTTTCCAAAATGCCGAGTAAGTGGGTAGCAGTAGGTGAATGGTGGTGTAAAGTGACGGGTGTTTTGTTACAAGTTGTTGAATGAAAAGGATCCTGGTTATGAATGTGTCAAGTGAGCCCATGTCTTATCCTGCAATATGCAGTGTATGCTGTAGGAAAATGCCATGCTTCGTACCGAGTTCTTCTCTGGTTTCGAGTACACCGATTCGTCCTTTGCCTGACGGACAGGTGGTGGATTTCCACTGGCATATTCAGCTGTATCTGTGTCGATGACGAGTATATCGTGTGGCACTTCTTATCATCAAGTCTGTTTTGATACCCGGACCAGAATTGGGACCACTCAAAAGGTGTCCAGCATACAGGAGTGTTATCTGAAGAAAGGGGCTCACGTAACCAGTCATGATCCTCATCACGAATGATGGCAAGAAGGCTGGGTGCTACGATCTGAACCGTTGTGAATGAAAATGGTCAAAAGCAGTCCACATACACCCGTACTGAGAGTTACATGTATTGAGTAAAAGCGATAGTACACGAGCGGCTGAAAACGGAACAACCAAACACAACCACTCAGCAGTTCTTTGCACATTTTCCTGGTCCGAAACTTCTGTAGAAGAGAGTAAGCTTGACAAAAACTAATGTTTCAAATAGACAAATACCGAGGTTGCTTGCTGACCTCGTCGACATTATGGTACATGATGGCAATAGTAACACTACAGAAGCTGTCTGGTATGAATAGTCGGATGCGTTACATTCGGAGATGAAAAGCTCTCCTATGGATACTGCACGTACGTACCGTTCTAAACAAACAGCGCCTACGACTAGGCTACTCTGTGTAAAGAAAAGTCGTGCGACGTGTGCCGCGTCGTTTCGCTATAAACTTTTACAGGACCATAAGATTAGTACATATACCGTCTCACAGTTCGTGTCGGAGCTTTTTGTGGTTCCAGTGCTCACGCGCCACACAACTCCACAAGTCGCACAGCTAGGGGAACACTTCACCCAAACTCTGACACCGAATCGGCCGGGTAGATACAGCACTGCCCACTTCCCCACTGCACAACTATGCGTCACCTTCCTACTGTCTAACTAATGTCCCTATGCCGTCCTGCAGGCAGGATAACCAATGCCAACCAAACGAGGATGCTATCCATACGTTACAGAGAGCGAAGTACCTACCAAGCGCGGGAAATGCGACATCCATGACAGTCGTAGCGATAACAAGAACGGAGCTCTTCAGCAGTGCCAACTTCAGGGTGAGAATTTCGCAAGAGTACCTTCCTGTTCATCTTCAATCGCCCCTGTTGCATCAATAACAGCTGAAATTGATGGCGTCATTGCAGAGCCAAGTACAGGAGTGGATAGCCAAGAGCGCATTCATCCGGAGAGTGATACAGTCCAGTCTGATGCAGTGTTGAGCGGAGCATCAGATCTCAGTAATAGTGTGGTCACATCATCACTGGGTCTCTTGGTAGTCGCACCGAAGTTTAAAGTGCTACATGACTCGTGGGAGGCATTTGAGGAAGCTCTAAAGGCCTATGGGAAGGCCACGTACCAACTGTACGTCATCCGCTCCACGACGTCTGTCAAGCGACGAAACTTCAAGATTGCGGAAAGGGGAACAAGAGAAAAAGTGGCTGCTACGTGTGTTCAACCTGAGGCAGAGCTGGGAGTGTCTGTGGATCAAGATGTTTCCGGCGTGGGAGGAACACATGTCGTTGAGAAAACGTTGATTCCAGAACGGTTTCTATGGTACTCCAAGTCACTCAAGTGTACGCACGGATGGAAAGACCGCCATCGAGGCACTGGAAAACGTGGATCGGGTGTGGTATGGTCAACGAGCTGTCCAGCAAAGATGTGTGTGACTCTGCAATATCGAGGACCTGGACCGGACGACTGGAAAGTGGTTGTGACCAAACACATGCGGACGCACAACCACCAACTGTCGAAGGAGTTGTATCTATACTACACGGAGAACCGGCGAATTTACGATCCTGAGCTGCTAGCGGTTGTCGGGAGGGCATCTGGAGCCACGAAATCCTCGTTTGACATGGCCAACGCTCATAATGCATCGTTGATCGAGCAAGCGAACCAGCGTCCCGGGCTGTATCGTGTACTCATGTCCAATGCCGAACAAAGACAACAGCATGCTCCGTCGATGACATTTGTGGCATCAGACGCATCGGCTCCGTTGTTTTTGTTCCCTGATGAACATACTTCTGATAGTGCTGCAAATAAACAGCACATGGCGCTGTCGGATACCGGCGCTGTCGATCAATCATGCGTCCAAATGAGGACTTCATCAGCTGCCATGACGGCGCTAGGGGCGATGGTGCTGACACCTGGAACGGTCCCTTCGATAGCGATAGGTGGGGGAGGTTTTTGCGTTCCTCGAGTCTCAGTGAAGGTGCATACATCGTGGGATGCTTTTCACGACTTTATCGCAAAGTACTCTTTCGACACAGCACAAGTTTTCCGTACGCGTTCGACTGTATCAGTTGCTGCCAGAAACGCGAGAATTGTATCATCTAGTGCCGCCAAATTAGGACGAGACGACCATGATGTTGCAAGCTATGCAAGTTACGCTTCGATGTCTCCCTCCTTGCGCCTGATCCCGGAAGAGTACAAGTGGTTTTCCAAGCTGCTAATTTGTACATATGGATGGAAGCGCAAAGCACGGGACAAAGGGTCTCGAGCTGACGAAAGCAATGATGCTGGTCCGTGTCCAGCTATGTTACTTGCTCGTATGGAGCGCAATGTAGACGGCGACTGGTACATAGTAATCAATCGTCAAGTCCAGAAGCACAACCACCGATTAAGTGGATTTATTGAGTCGACTACCACAAGCAGTGGCGTGCCCGTTCAGTGTGTCGAAACTGATGTCACTGAATCATTGGCAACTGCATCGCTGATGAGCCCAAGTTCTGACCAACGAAGCTCACGTTCAAATAGCTCACCTTTGCTTCAGACCGAGGCGACGACCGAGCTTGACGTCGACAATTTGCCACCACGACCACTAAATCATCGTGAGATCGTTGTTCGCGTTCCCAAACTCCAGTCTGTCTTTAACTCCTGGGACGACTTCCACGCGAGCCTGAAAGCTTACTCCGATGCTACGTACCAGCTTTATCGCACCAGGACGACAAGCTCAGCGACGGGAAGGAACAAGAAGATTGCCCAAGCAAATCATGGTGATGAAGACGATGCAAAGGGCAAGAAGAGCAACAAAAAGGGAGGTGACAGTGAAGTTACACTAAATAGAGATATAATTGCGCGCATGATACCTGAATCGTGGAGATGGTATTCGAAAACGCTTACATGCACGCATGGCTGGAAGGAGCGACACCGTGGAACGGGGAAGCGCTCTGCGCATGGTGTGCGCTCAACAGCATGTCCCGTGAAGATATGCGCGACTGTGCAATATATGAATCCACCCGAAAGAGTTCATGCCGAAAATAGCTCCGATGCAGTTGATGGCAACGGCTTGGTGACATCTGACAATTACTGGCGAGTTGTGGTAACGAAGCATGTCGTAGACCATAACCACAATTTGTCGCCTGAGCTGTACCAGCATTACTGTGAGAATCGCCGGATCTACGACCCCGAACTCCTTGCGATTGACACGTCAAACATTGGCATTGAGGTTGGCAGTACAGTCTACCAGGACGCTGTCACCACAGCTTCTGATACGCTGAAGCTTCGCATCATTGGAGACCGAATATGTTGTCAGCCTCATGCGTGTTCGACAGAAGGAGACGTAAGGCCAGCAGAAGCTGTGAATCATGCTCAGGTATGTGGACCTTTTGTCGGTAATCATGCGGTCAATACTGGAGCTGGTGAAGCAGTCACTGTACCCCCGTCCGTGCGGGAGATGCTGTACTCTGTCGATGCAGGACAACATTTCGTGGGATCAGGTGGCCTGCTTCCGTACAGCTCTACAACAATCTACCTGTCAGTCCAAGCTCAAGGCCAGGAGAACCAGCACGGAGGTCGTCAAGAGCATGCGCTAACAGTGTTTGGTGGCAACACTGATGGGGGTCCAGCTGGTCGAAGGTACACAGGTGATGAAAGCACAGGCTTGACAAATATGGCAACGCAAGGTACAAAGTCCCTTGACTATGGCATGCTTAACGCTGCAGAAGCGGTTATGACGGGTGCCATGTCTTTGTCGGGCTCAAATGTGACACCCATTGCTAGTTGCACCCTCGGATCATTGTCCAGCACTGACTTGGAACTAGGTCAGACTTCGGGCAAGATCACGTCGGAACCTGACGAGGTAGAGTCTGTCACTACTCCAGCATCGCAGCAGACATGCTTTCAGGTTGCCAGTGGCAATACCTATGCTACCACCACTCATTGTAGCGAGCTACTGGCTCCTACTGAGACCTGTTTCGACGCCGAAAATGAGGCACTGATGTACGCTGGCGAGATGGAAGGCGTCTGGCAGCCATCTTCACATGTGGAGATTGTAAAGGTGGCTCTACAAAATGGGGAGACGACGTGGCGCGTCCCGCGTATCGTGCAGCGGTATCCTTCTTGGGAAGCATTTCATAGCTACCTGGACGCGTATTCAGCTGCAACGTTCCAGCTTTACCGCGTCCGTACGACGTATTCAGTGCGCTCGCGCAACACGCGCCTTCGTCAATTGGCGGCGAGTCGGGGACTGCTTGTACGCGACGGTGACAACGAAAAAGATAGCGCAAGCTCTGCTGAGTCGGAGCAAGCAGGTGGTCATGGATTGTCCCGGGCCCACTTGGTACCTGAACGATTCGAATGGTACTCAAAGACGTTTTTATGTACGCACGGTTGGAAGCGTCGCGGTCGTGGTAGTGGCCAACGTAGAAGCCACAATGTTCGAGCTGCTGCGTGTCCCGTCAAGGTATGTGCAACACTACAGCGCACGGATGGATCGAGTACGTGGAACGTCGTTGTCACGAAGCACTGGACGGAGCACAACCATGACCTTTCAGAAGCGCTTTACCTGCAGTATTCCGACGTCCGACGGGTCCGTGATCCGGAAGTTCTCGAACAGGCAGAACAGCTTTGGCGAGGAGGAGCCACACGCCGTCGAGTGTTTGAGCTTCTCAAGGAGCGATCGCCGAACCAAGTTATTATCATGAAAGACGTGCACAACCTCGTGCAGCGGTGGCAGTCACAAGAGCGTCGCGTAGGAAAAGAAGCGGACGGAAGGGATTGCAACGACCAAGCTAGTACCACCAGTCGAGTGGAAAGTTTATACCGGACGTGACAACAACGACGAGCTCATTTTGGTTGGCACCAACAGTTGACGTTGCGGTAAGTATGTTTGTGAATGGTATCCCTTTTTTATATTGTTGAAAACTGACGCGTGTTTTGGTAATCAGAGATGATGGGCTTGTCTTGAGTGAGAAAAAGAGGAATTTGTTCAAGAAGCTGTTAAAAATCGCGGACTTGGTCCTTTGATTCTTTATCACTGGTTTATATTGTTTAATCGCGTAACGGAGGGTGTCTTACCTTACCTTGCCGAGGCCTGGGTCTGACACACTTTGGGTCAGAGTTTGCGGTCACTATATTAGTTAGTGACCTAATATTGTGCCAATGAGTCGCGTGTAGAATCTCATGCAAACAGAAAACAAATACAAGATAAAAGTAAAAACTGCATTAAAGACGCACACAAATGCAAGAACATGATGGAAAAAGTATCAATGGTGTATACTACACGTACGATTGCATACATAACTAAGGAGATTTTGTCGTTGGTTTTCATACAAGTTCGTCGTAACGATATGGGACAAATAGAGCGTTCGTGGTGGTTTTGGTGGTGCAGACCGGTGTTTGTACAAGTCAGTCGCTTTATGTTTCACTGTGCGAATTTCGACAAGCAAGTAACATTACTACACAATACAGACCTTCTGCGACACGATCATTTACACTCTGGAAACGCGATGGTACCGATCAAATTTTTCTGCTTGGCACAATGAACTGCCAATATATCATGCACAATACTTTGGCAAGGTGACGAAGCGAAAGTGGCGTTCAAGCCAATAATCACTCTGCAAGACTGTACCCTTTCCGCATTTCGCTGTTCAGGCGATTTTTAGTCACTGTTTCGTCGATGTCCTTTCCTCGCTACCTCTTGTTGGCCACAAAGGACCATTCGTGACTCCGCGCATTCAACACCAGCGGTAAAAGGCGTTTCGAAGCAACAGAAAATCAGTGGCTTCTTCCAATGAACGGCATTACGTGAGTAGAGTGATATATTTCAAGTAGCAATTCACTGCAGCCGAAATTGCAACCGTCTCATCCGTTTTGCATCTAGTGATAAACGGCATGATGAAACAATGTTGCAAACAACACGGCTGTTTCTTGGTTGTGCGGCTTTCCCTTTGCAAACATTTAGCCCTCCGACAAATTTGCTTTGCATTCCTGTCAAGTACCCGGATTATTTAAGACATCTCGTAGGCACGCAAGTGCGAACAAATATTTTGATCCATGCAGTAAACGTATGGACATGGCCTCCAGCCGTGCTCTTGTGATGATTCAAGTAAAGTTGCAGAGCTAAACGAATTGTGCTATCTTTGCAAACAGTGTTTATGGTCTAAAAAGTGTGCGTCACTATATTAAAGTATGCGACCGTAACCTTTTTACGATACAATCAAAAAAATTACCGTTTCTATCTATGTATATCGTTTGACGGGACAACATCACAGTCCATGTTTGAAGGCTTGTTGCTTTCAGAGTAGCCTTGCTTTGTAGGACCTAGACCGATGTTTCGGTAGATTTGGCGATCGACGGCAAAAAATCAGTAAAAACCCTGGTCACTTGAAAAAGTGGTAGACGCAACAAGCGCGTATGCACATATAGCATACAGCCTCTAAAATAATAGTGCTCACCTTGTCAAGCAGATTTACATCTTTAAATGATTTTGTCCACGTTTCATTTTGATCTTGTAATATATACGTATTTGAAAAAATTCCGGGCACATATTTCTGACAATCCCTTTCTTTTATTTCAGTGCTAATCTTTCTGCAAAAAAATGATTGCAGTAAATAAAGGTCCATCTACAAGAAGCTATTTACTACATTTAGGAGTAAGTAACCAATCTCCTATCATCGAATGGAATAGAATGACAAGCTATTTTGCTTACAAGCAACAAAAGCTTGCTTCGAGAACACGAAATTAAAGACTCCGTGTTGAAACCCATAAATAATCATTACGAAGCAAAGGCGCCATGCAGAATGCACTGAATCAGCAGCAAAGACACAGTCGCACTCACGATGATATCCTGTTTTCTTTCTCCACTTCAAAACCGTCGTAAGCAAGTGCTATTTCTGCTCTGCTAATCGTAATCATGACCTCAAAATAAACACGACGAAAATACTGCGTCGAAAGCAACAAGGCTTTGATAACTCCACATAAGTTTCACCTACATCATGCCACGTTATCACTCGCTCCGTGTCGTAGGTAGACAAAACTGTTTTGAACCGTGGTCAATCGCTTTGCTACCAGGGTAACGATACGGTCCTGATTCTTCATGATCAAAGTTATGAGGCGGCCGAGTTTCTCCGGAATCCGTGCCATGACAGAGCCCGCTTTCTTCCTGATCGGTGCGATGAATTCCTCGATCTCGGTTCTGACGCGGCCTAAGAACTTCAGTTGCTCTTTCATAGCGGCTTCCATTTCCTCTTTCTTTTGATTTGACATGGCGGGGAACTTTTTAAGCGCCCATGCCCAAGTTTCAGCAAAAGCCGATTCATCAACGACCGGATCGTATTTCGCTGCATCAAGGACAACAGCGATAAGCTTACCGCCATCCCCGTCGCAACGTTTGTAGAGAGCTTCTGTTACGTTGTCAATGTCGACTCCTAACGATTTGGGACCCTTGGGCACCGACTTCAGGAGCTTTGTTACCGTGGGTGTAAAGAAAAAAAAAATGGGCACTCTTAACCCCGGATGGCAGCGGAAGGACGTCATCCAGGGTCTTGTGGGTCGTTTTCCAGTAATCGATCATTGAGTCAAGTTCGCGGTCTGCAGCCTTCCTTGCCTCCATATCTCCTCGAAACCCGGCTTTGATCCCAGCTTTAATAACGTACAGAATGTTCTTGCCTTCCGTAAGACCAGACGGCATCATTTTGTCAAGCTTAGTCGTCACAGAAATATGCTCCTCAGTGTCGTGAACATCTCTCTCACGCATGCCAGGAATGTGCTCCTCAGTGTCGTGAAACTCTTCCTCATGCGTCTCAGGAAAAAGCTCGTCCATATCGTAAAAATCTTCCTCGGGTGTATCAGGAACATGCTCCTCAGTGCCGTGAAACTTTTCCTCAGGTGTCTCAGGAAAATGCTCCTCGACATCGTAAAACTCTTCCTCAGGCGTCTCAGGAACATGCTCCTCAGTGTCGTGAAACTTTTCCTCAGGTGTCTCAGGAAAATGCTCCTCGACATCGTAAAACTCTTCCTCAGGCGTCTCAGGAAAATGCTCCTCAGTGTCGTGAACATCCTCCTTGGCAACCATGTCGGAGTATACTCCGAGACCGCCCACCTTGTCAGTGGTCTCATGAGGTTTCGCTAGGACATCATGCAAACTCTCGGCTTCCATAGTGACTTCCTTCCCCACCGTGGACTTCAGCCCTTGTGCAATCTCCGGCAGTGATTCGAAAACCTTCACAAATGGCTCGACACTCATCCTCTTTTCGTCGTCCATTGGCTCGTCCATCCTCAACAATCGGTTGATGAAGCCACTGTCACGATGGATTTCAACGACATGAACGTGAGCCGGTGTGTTGATCATGAAATCCGACACTCCCGCGGAGTGAGGGATCGTGTCAGCAAAGGCAGCTGGAGGCAGGAGGACAAGGGGACAGAGGCGCATCTTGGCCAAAGTCGTACTGGCTAATGGTCTCGACTGGACGAATGCTGAGAATGAATACTCGAGTGTCGAGGCGAGTGGCGCCGCCAAGGAATCAGAAGCCACTGGAATCGCAGCGTAATCATTTGTAGCCATCCATCGCATGCCATTGGCTCTATTTAGGGCGATATAAAAAACTCAAGGCGTTGCCAAAAAAAGAACTCACTAAAAAAAGAACTGGGAGCCGCTAATGAGCCTTCAGTTTTCGCTGAAGCCTTCACCTCATACATTAAACAAGCTATTAAATTTGAAGGTCTCTAAATCCTAAAATTGGATTGTTGTTCTTTTAGGCACCGAACCCCAAAAAAATTCCACAGTCGATCTCTGCGACACATTATTATCGTTACAAGAAGCAAAAGAGTATATCGGACCTGCGGCGCAGCGCAAAACAGTACACAACAGGTGTTTAAAATATCATGTTTGACAGGTTTTAAGTCTCAAGGGATATACCACGTTACAGTCTCACCTGATCGGCCGGTGGTCAGACCAGGTGACACGTGGGACCACGATGAGGCGATCAGGCAGATGAGATTTGGAGATACAGTTGAACGGTCTGACGGCTAGGGCAGCGAGGTGACGACCGGACGTTGGGACATGACGACAGGGTTGGTGTGACAAGGCACCCTTTGTTTGGGGTGCCACGAAAACTTCACGTACACTAGTACGTGCAGAGAAGCTAATCTACTCAACAGCAGTGTTAAGTAAAGGGTAAAAAGAGAACTGTTTTTAATATAGTTAAGCTATCAACATAACTTTAATCTTTATTTAACTATCTTAAACTACGTCGTCGTATGACGACAACCTGCTCACCACTCATTGCGCGCGTCTAGCTGCGATTTGTGGCAATCTGTGGTTGATATGTCTAATATCAATTTATCTTGGCGCAGCGAATGAAGATTATCCGAAAAGAGAATAAGATTCCTTCATCATGTACCATCTCGGATAATTTCAATATATTGTTATACTAGACAATATTCCAAATGACACCGTTTGGTGTCAATTTCGTGTAACGGGCTACCCCGTTACATCTCACACCTCAGCAGCAGGTGATTCGTCGCCTTTTGTTGTGAATCGTCCACGTGGTGAGTCACCACGTGCGACAGGTACATCCGCTACGTCTGCAGAAAGGCAACGACTTGCAAATCAGATGAGCCTCACATACAGCTCATCTATTCTAGCAAGTCGGATGACGCATCCGACTCGAAGGCGGCGCCTCCAGCCTACGGATCATCCGAAGCGGACACTGCAAGAGTTAAGTTGACTGGCTAACGTGGCAGCATCATATCCACGATCTTTGGACTGAGCGATTCTTCTGACGAATCGTCGCCTCGCGCAAGTCCATCCGACGATAGGACGCGTGGTGATGGTGGTGCACCCATTCATCACCACCAGTGAAGCAACTCGAGAGATCGAGCTGCCACTGGTGTCAGTGCTCGTGGTAAAACCACTCAAGAGGTCAGGGACTGAAATGTTCAGTGCCACGCTCCTCAAATAAAGTCTCCTCGGATGCCGTCACCCAAAGAGTTAGATCGAGTGGCCGAAATGACATCCAAACGGGATCGAATCCCATTGTTCGATGGCAGGAAGATTTTCCCACCTAATTCTAGCACCGAAACTATCCATGCGGAGGAAGAGTTCTTCGATGTGTTCTTCAAGCACCTGTGGTACAATGGCAGCCGTTGTCGAGACGGTAAGGCCTTGGTGCAAGGATGGAATGCCCTCATCCATAACATCAAGTGCATTTACCGTGAGGCCTGGCTCGATAAATTTGATGCAGCTTGGCTCAGGTTTGAGAAGCGTGACCCAGCCGGGGTGCGATACAAGTTGCACCGGCTTTCAAGAGAGGCAGGATTATCCTGTCTCTCGTGGGGTGATTCGTGTCCAGGTTGCCTGGACAACTCGAACCGTGCCCCTAGGAAGCCCTTCCTCCCAAAGGATCCCTACTATAGGGCGCGCATCTCTTCCGAGATGGCCAAAGGGATTGACACTTTGCAATCCCTGTGCTCACGTTCGGGGAGGTCGTTTTCCGACGGTTCTTTTTCGAACGCAGCGGGAGGGTCTCGTTTTACTGCTCGACGAGACCCAGAACATCAACAATCAGCTGGGCACGAAGCTCCCAGCTGTCCCACGCCGGTGGATAGCCACACAAGCGGACGAGAAAGCTCGTCCGGACGCCATTCACGTCACGTTGGTTCAGGATACGCTCCACTAGGAAGCGTTAAAACCGCGAGAATACACCAAAGGATGTGGTGGCGGCGGGATCCTGATCGTAGTCTAGTGATAAACGTTTTAGTACATCTATCTGTTAAACATGGTTCACGACTTTATTAATGTTAACAATAAAAGCATAATCAAGAATCATGCGCAGTCACAGCAACAGTACTCTGCACTGATGCGGCAATTTTCTGTAAATGCGCATATACTATCTTCTTCAGTTCAACTCGTCTGATTCGCTTCTACAGCTGCAAGTCGATCCGGCCGTAGCGACACAGCTGACAGTTTTCTTGGAGCAACGTCCGTCCCGGAAAGACTCACGTTAATCCGCACGTTCGTGCCAGAAAGATTCACGTTCATCCGCACATCCGCGATAGTCAATGCTGATTGAAGCCCCAAAGAACTGATTGCCTTCACTAAGACAGCAGCATCAAGCCGTGTCATATCGTCCATCTTGTCTTTTGGTGGGGCCTGCATGCAAATTATGTGGAAAACATGTTCCCAAAAGCGGCTTTGCCTGCGGCGGCAACGAGCTCTTGATCGCCAACCTCTTCATCGCTTGGTTACACAGCTCCATCGAGGTCGCCTGAGGGTTACATGTCACAACCGTAAGTGCTGCCAAAACATTGCCCAACTACTTGGAAAAGAGACCAATGATCGCCATCGAGTTTGCACCCATCATTTCTCCTGTCGATACCAGCAAACTGTATCCCTTGCGCATGTCTTTCGCCCCCTGCAGCGATGTTCAGTACGAGTGCAGCGGCTGTCTTCATCCACCGACGACGCCATATCTGCTGGCGTCTTTAGCTGCGTGACCAACGTGCTTTCTCGCAATGCTGGGGAATAAGCGTTGAGACACAACAATCCAACTGGTCTAATCGTCGCGATCAACGAATTCCAAACGCATGTCTGATCGTCGCGACCATCTCTTTCTGTGTCGAGTTTTCCATGGCCACCTGAGAAATGAGCGTGTCCTGTAGTCCGTTCATACCTTAACCATCATTGTCTTCCGTAACGAAACTTCCGAGACGCTCCAAGTTACGAGTGACCCCAGCAATTGCACGTGGATGTTTCAAACTCAACCTTAGCGAGTCTCATCATGTCCCCTGCAAAGCGATTTCACGCTTTCTTGTCCCGAATCTCTAGCGTCGCATCATGAAACGCCTGTCTGTTTGCGCCATGACGGACATGCATTGAAGAAGCGTGAAAGCCTCCGACTGCGACGTGCTCGTACTAAATCATAAGCGTTGCAGCGTCGATCGCTGCAGGGAACGAGGACTTTGCCACGAGACTCCGACACAGATTTAGCGTCACTGAGTCCGAATTGGGATGATTCAGATCCATCGTCTCCATGTGCATGCAGCAATACAGAGGACACAGTGTGTGTCTTCACCACTTCTGCTGACGTGGTCGCTCTGTTGTTCTCCAGTCGAGATGGACACAACGTCATCTCCTGCCATAAGCTTTTCGCTTCTGACGCGCCCCTGTCTACGTGTTCGCCACTACCTAGCGGATAAACATTGCTGGAACCAATGGGTGCGGATGACATCCAGAAGCAGTAGTAGCGCCAGTAGAAGTTGTGGCAGTTGTTGCACCTGCGACAGCAGTAGCGACAGTCCCAGTCCAGACAGCACCAGTGCCAGCAGCTCAGTGAAGTCGCTAATCACCACAACTGCGGTCAAGTCGAGGTAGTCTTCTGCCATATTACAGTCAATAACAGAACTTGCGCCAATGACATCGGCCCTGCTACCTTACGCCATGTAGCGGAGTCACACAGCTCCTTAAGTCAGAGGAAGACTTAACGCTCTACGAGCAACTTAGTTCTAAAGAACTAACGACTTTACGATTCAACAAGATTTACAGCTTCATATCCCTGTTCCAGGGGACCTAACGATTCAGTGAATCGACAGCACTCAGTGCTCAAGAGTAGCTACCTCAAGGAGGTGTTGCTAACTCTTAGTGATCAGTGATCAGTGATCAACGATCAAGACGGCTCGCAATCCACGTGTCCTTTAGATCAAAATGGGAGCTGATTGTTTAAGCCTATAGAATATATTAATCCTACTCAAAGATCTTTCGTACCTAATGTCTGACACTCGTCAGCCCCTACAAGCCAATAAGATGTTCTTTATAACCTTCACAGAGGGGTACCCTCAGGTGTGTAACACCTCTGGTACAAAGTACCATAATTTCGTGCAATTCCGTTACACCCTCCCCCACCAGACTGACGTTTATCAAAACGTCAATCGAACTTGTGTTCCTAAGCGAGAACAGTGCGCGTACGATTAACCTCACGGTAACGTACGCTCTAGCACGATGTCCTCATCACCAAACGAGTCAAAGACTCTGTGTGACTACCTCGTAGTAGAGGAGGCAGTAAACTATGGCAGCGATACCAGTGTCCACGGCGATACAGGGACAATGTCCGACTCACTGATGCCTGAGGCACAACCTTCGAACACCCCATATCCGTTCTCTGAACGTGGAGATGCGAGCGCGCCACTAGCGCAGCATTCAGCATCTGGTTCTGATGAAACTATTATCACGAACCCGCTCGATGAGCAACAACAATTGCTTGTCCAACAAGAAGAAAACGCTCAGCGTCGTGTACAAATGGTTGCAACCCTTAAACGCCAGCGTGACTATGTGTTCACTCCACCCAGTATGGAGGAACGTCTACGTCAAGCGGCCGGCCAAACATTGGCAACGTGGGTCATTGGCCATGAGCCTAAGACTCCTGCGGAGGTGGTGAGCTGCCAGGCACTTCGTGAGAGGTACCTGGAGCCGCACCTAACGACTCAAAGTCAATACAAGGCACGCCTTGACATGCAAGCACGTGGTGCACAGGTTCCACCGATCAAGGGTATACCCATTCTCTTGTTCGCAGGCGAAACAGTGAGCGAAGAAGAAGATGCCTTCGTTCACTTGGTGCACCATGTGCGTCGCCTCAGCAACATGTTTGCTCTAAGGGCTAGTGCCCATGCGGCTGATGTGCGTCTCAAACGCAAGCTTCGGTATGATTATGCCAAGCTTAAGGCCAGAGGCCAATTGCGCAAGCGCACGCGCTATGCTTCGGCAACTAAGGTAGCCGCGAGTGCTGGTCAGTCTGTGGCCAACAACCCGCCAACTCGCACCACTAGTGGTGAAGAACGGCCTCGGTCTCGAGAAGACCATGGCCACGATGCTCAAAATCATCCAAAGTGTAAGGGCAGTCTTGCCGAAGGGGTATCTCAAACTTCCATGAATTATCAGATTTTGGGTACCCTCGCCACTTTACCAGATACTGGTATTGGCCCTGACGACGACGTCGTTTCAGTAGTCTCTCGACATGAAATTGACGACACCCATGCTCATCGAGCAAAGTCGGTGGCGGCCGGTGTACCGGTGGAGGCCCACGAGAATGTGGTTCTCGAAGTTAAGGGTCTTCAAGAGACCTTGGGTAAGACCCAGTGCATGCTGGCTGCGATGCAAATCCGCCTTCAGGCGATGGAGCAAGCTCAAACTCGGAGCGAGGCTCAGTTGGACTTGCTGATTCGCCTACAGCAATCCGGGGGGAGTGCCTTTGTCGTCGGCGCAAGCGCCTCAAAGTTCACATGGGAAGGATCCCGGTACGGCTTAAGTAAGCCTACGTAGAACACTGGATGTGTGCGCAATTTGCACGGAAGGTTTAGCGAATACGCAAGTCCCTTCTTGGCAGTGACCGTAAACGGTCCAATAAAGCGTGGACGCTTTTTTGTCTTAAAGACAGCAGACACTACATTTGTGGGTAGATTTTTAGAATTGAGTAATACTTGGTCTCCGACCTCATAACGTTCAATACACTTTCTGCCTTTGGCATCAGCTTGTTGTTTTTGGTTATCTTGGCTATCAGCCATTGCTTCACGCACACGTCTTAAGACGTTTAATCGCGTTGCGAGAAACTCGTCTACCTGTTTTTGAACAGTAGCAGGGCTGATATCAGCAAGCCGATCGGCAACCTCTCCCCCACCAAGCCCTGATTCACGTAGTGATAGCGTTAACGGAACGCGAGGGTGAGTGAGACCGTTTATGTAGAACGGAGTAAAGCCTGTTGAGGCATGCACAGCGTTATTCAACGCAAACTCAACAACCGGGAGCATGGAGCTCCAACGCCTAGGCGTATCAGCGCAAACACTGCGCAAAATGTCGTTGATGACGCGGTTAACACGCTCAGTTTGACCGTCGGTCTGCGGATGATCCGCTGTGGACATGTCCAACCGAGTGCCAAGCACCTTGAAGATAGACTTCCAAAACTTCCCAGTGAAGCGGGGGTCTCTATCAGAGACAATTGCCACAGGCAAGCCATGTTGGCGAGACACACGGTCGATACACAGCTTTGCTGTACCTTCAACATCGATGCTGTCCGGCACAGCCGCTAAGTAAGCCATCTTGCTTAATCGGTTAACAAAGACCACAATACCAGTGTTGCCTTCCAATCTTTCGGGAGGCCAAACACAAAGTTCATGCTCATGGACTCCCAACAACCAGTGGGTACTGACAAGCTAGCCAGCGGCGCCGCCGCATGTGCTGAGGGTTTTACCCGTTGACACGTTTCGCATGTACGCACATAGGCGCTCACCCACTTATAAAGTTTTAGCCACCAATAACTTTGGCTCACCGAGCTATAAGTCTTCTCACGACCGAGATGACCACTTAAAGCAGTATCATGTGCCTCATAGAGGATTCGATACTTTGATTCCTCATCATGAGGTACAGCGACACGAGGGTTATCTTCAATATCCGTGCGATAGCACAACAGGCCATTATCGACGGAATATAGATGTAGCCTCGCACGTATACGTGCCGACAATTCTATGTCCGAGTCTTTATACTCATCCCTCCCAAGAGCACGTAGCAAAGCTACACACTGATCATCCTTGGCATATGCCGCACGGATTAAGTCAGTGACTGACGACGACAGAGTCTAAACATGAGCAAGCTCATAGTCAGGTCGACGCGATAGCGCATCAGCCAAAGCATTTTGCTTACCTGGCTTGTACTTCACCTCGAAGTTATACTCGGCAAAGAAGGAAAGCCAACGAGCCATTCTCGATGAAAGATGAGGCGACTGTGTCGCAGTGCGTAATGACGCATGATCGGTTTAGATAACAAACGGCTTTGAGCCAAGCAAATGTACTCTGAATCTGACAAGAGCGTACTTTAGAGCAAGTAGATCTTTGTCATGAACTGGATAGTTCTTTTCGGCAGCTTTCAGCTGTCGAGACCCAAATGCGATGACGCGTTCGCGTCCATCGACATCTGCTTGTAACAGAGCACTGCCTATGGCAAAGTCAGATGCGTCACAGACTACACTGAAAGGCCGATCAGAATCGGGCAAAGCCAATATTGGCGCATGAAGGAGACTCTCCTTAACGGCTTCAAAAGCATCATGTTCGGTGTTAATCCAGCACCTATTCAAATCCTTTTTAAGGAGATTGGACACTGGCCGAGCCATATCTGCGTAATCTGCACTATACTTATGTAAGTAATTGGCAAGGCCAAGCCACTTACGCAAGTCCTTTTGGTTCTTGGGGACTGGCCAATCGAATATGGCTTTTACCTTAGTGGGATCCGCTCGAAGGCCTCGCTTCCCAATGAAGCACCCTAGAAAGGGAATCTCTTCTGCACCAAAGATGCACTTCGATGCGTTAGCGTACAACATATTCGTTCGCATACACTCGAGCACCGCTCGTAAATGATCAATGAGGTTATCCACATCTGATCGCCCATTCATTGCACGACTATGGACAAAAATGTCATCAAAGTACGTTTGTGCATAGCCTCGATGAGGTCTGAATAGTTGCGTTACCAGCCGGTTAAACGTAGCCGGGGCGTTAGATAGCCCTTGTGGCATAACGAGCCACTCCCAGAACATACCGCTCGGATTACTCACCGCTGTTAGCGAAATATCACTTGCTCGCATAAGCAGTTGGTAGTAACAATCGACTAAGTCGAGTGCACTATACAATGTACATCCAGCCATATTGTTTTGAAGCACACCCTTTCTAGGAATAGGCGTCTGCGCCGGTATAGTGGCTGCATTAAGCTTATTATAAGCATACACAATACGCCACTTGCCGTTTGGCTTTTTGACACAGAATGTCGTTGTTGAATGGGGAGACTTGCTCTCACGAACCATTCCAGCCGCGTGCTTAGCACGAAAGAAATCGTCGATGACGTCACACTGTTCTTTAGGCAAAGGCCACTGCCGTGTTACACAGTATTTAGTTCCACGAACTAAGTCAATCTCATGACGTACACCTCTATCGGGAGGTGAGGCAGAAGGTGGTCGTGACACACCACATCTTGAAATTCCTTAACTAAAGGATAGAATGGATCCAAAGGATTTTTAAGGATCGAAGATCCACTTCCTGTACTAAGTGCCACCTTTGTATCCTCTAGGACAGACTCATCCATTAACGAGGAAGAGTTCAGCTCAGTATCAGGTCTAATGACCACTAACTCGGATAACTCTCCTGCCTTTAAGGCCTGGCTAAACTCGCCATCAGACATTTCATCTAGCTCACACAGCGCGTCAACAGATGGAAGGGTTTCGAGGCTCACCTTGCCATCAACCTCACCGGTCACTCCATTAACAAGTGTATATAGTGTATGACTATTATCACTATGTGACTGTGAGGACGCCTGACGCTTTACAGCTGCTACTCGGCGTCTCGATTTTCTCTTCGAGACCTCACACCCCTTAGGGGTCGGGACAATATTGTCCCCATGGTTACTACCAACCATAGTACGCTCTATACGAGAGCTTTTGTCTTGACCGACATCCGGTGAAGTGTTACATTACCCGAACGCTTCACCCAGTGGATTGAAACGTGCCACTCCACGTGTATTATGCGGGTCTAGCCTAACATTTTACGGCATCTCGCCATCAATGTCATTATCGACATTAGGTGTGGTGCCCTCACGGCCGCCCACACTATATGGCGTATCTCCAGCAATATCATTACTGACATTGAGCGTGGTGCCATCACGGCCGCACAAACTAAATGGTGTATCGCCAACAATATCATTACTGACATCAGGTGTGGTGCACTCACGGCCGCCCACACTATACGGCGTATCGCCAACGACACCATTACCGACGTTAAGCGTAGTGCCTTCACGGCCGCCCACACTAGATGGCGTATCGCCAACAATGTTACTACTGACATTAGGTGTGGTGCCCTCACGGCCACCCACACTCACATCAAAGGAACCGCATCCTTGATCACTCGGCCCTAGTCCAACCATGCTTTCAGCATGCGGTGACTCGTTGTCACAACGAGTAACACTCAAGGGAAGACGTGCCGTTTCACTCGTTTTAGACGAGCTAGGCTCAAAACTTATGTTTGTAAAATTGGAAATAGATAGCTCAGACACTCCAAAATTCAGCACATAGACATCTTCTGTCAAAGGCTCGCGCCAATAGCGCTTCTGTTGTCTAGCGAAGGTGGGTTCATGACTCCCCAAAGCTTCACTAGGAACACTGCGCGTAGCGCCTAAGGTCTTAGACCTTTAATCAATCCATGGCCCATGGCGTTCAAGCTAAGCCATGCCGAGGATGGGATCATATCTCGAGTCCAAATCTAGGACAAGACAGCACTTAATACTGTCAAAGATAAAACTTTTATACCTAAGTTCAATGGAACTTTAGGCACAGTAACGCGACTTCCAGTCGCTAAACGTACTGTGATAGAATCACCCTCATGCGCTGTAAGCGCCTCAGCATAAAGCTGACTTCCCTCAAGCGAACGGCGTCGAGCATAATTGCAAGACGCTCCAGAATCGATCAATATCGACCAACGCTTCTTAAATTCCTTAATTTTCGCCTCGGCGATCAACAAGCCAGACTTGTATCCACACACCATACCCGTAGGTATGGCAAACTTTGGGGCTAAGCCCTGCCTTCCTTTACCTTTTTAAAGGTGAAACAGAACCTAATTCTTCCCTAGTAGGGCACCCCACGCCTACTGGGTGTCGGCATTTCCCCGTGCCATACCAGACTTCTGACTCGGGGTCGAGTGTTGGCTTGTAGCCTGGCGTTGCTAACGCAAAGGGCAATCACGCCGCAAGTTTTTAGTGCTTCCGCACGTAAAACATCGTCGTACGGCGTGTTGCTGCTCAGCAGCTTGAAGCTCAGCTTCATCTTCAGCTTCAGCATAGCTGAGATCCACCGGTCCCGGCCTATTATAGGCAGTGGTACCCGAAGAGTTTGCTCTCACACAGCGAGGATTGTACCCATTCCAACCAAGTCTGGCCGACTTGAAGTTATGCTCAGCATTTAGAGCAAGTCTCACAGCCTCTTCAAAAGTAGAGGGGTGAACCCGAAAAACCTCGGTTCTGGCAATGCCAGTACGTAGACCTTCCATGAAGGTATTCACATGGACTGCCTCAGGCAGAGGTTAAGACTGCATTGCAGCTATGAGTGTTCACAGCTCTTGGACATAGTCCGATAATTCATTCTTACCTGGCGAATTGAAAGAAAGCGTGAACGCACTCGGTAAGCCTGGTTAGGAGGTGAGAACACCTGTATCAATTGTGACTTGAGCGACTCCCATGTGGGAAACCCTATGTCCACCGACGTGCTACACGTCAAGGCCCATTCTCTAGCTCTTCCGTCGAGCTTCGAGTTAGCCATCGAGACCTGTTGATGGTCAAGCGTGATCAGGCCTGATCTCATGGCCATCTCAATGTCATGGATCCAGAGGATGAGATTCTCACCCTCCTTACCGGAGTATTTTTTACTTCCACTATAAGTGGACGAGGCCTAGCCTCTTCGTCCGGTACAGACACATAGCGTGTAGGCATAGCCGACGCTACTTGGTCTTGGACATGCCCTAAAAGGGTCGCTTCATACTGCATGAAGCTTTCAACACGTGCATTAAGCACTTCAGGACCTTGTGAAACAAGGAATTCCACGTCATCTGGACCCAAAGATGCGGTAAGCTTTTCAAGCGCGTCTTTTGGGCCTCAGACAGGGGATTGGGTTTTTCCATCCTCACAGAGGATCAGTCATTTAGACTCAGGCATAGATTGACTACGAGCGCTACCAAGTGTAGCGGAGTCATGCGTGAGCAATCATTTTTGTAAATTGCTTTCTCTGTCGCATAATGGCTAGTGACGTGCAAATAGTATGTTTAAATCTGGCTTCGTGAATCGCCAGCAGATAAATGCCTACAAGGTCCAAGTCTTGCATTCTTTCGCCGCCTGAGTGCATGAACTCTAGAAAATCGATGTGCTTCACCTACGTGTAACTTCACAATTTATCTTGATTCGGTTCCCACACAATGTGATCTGAACGAATTCAGATAAGGTGGCGTCGCATTTGGTGGAGTACAGTATGGTGGTAACGACGTATTGGTTAGAGATTGCACGTCGCCCACGTATTTCGATGTACTCAACGACTGCTATCAATGCAATGCATTAAGCGTAGCCCGCTGCATCATGTCGACCCTAATCACAGGGTCAACGCAGGCGTATAGCATTAGTAAGAGGCGGTTTACTCTTGATAGCTGATGTCGGCTGGCACGTCAGCCCATAATCCCTGATCAACGCGTCAAATGCTGCTCGCGGTAACTAGGGAGTATTCGCAAACTCAAACGCTTTGCTGTTGAGAGTCAATTGCATGCGATTGATGACGGCAAGAGATAACAATGTACGGATTGAAAACACCTGGCCTTTGTGCTCTTCGGCTGCTTTGTTCAGCAAGCGTCATTCTGACACCCATCCAGTCGACCCTACAAGTGTCGAACGGTACAATACTTGTGCAGATGCGCCTCAGCCATCTCGTACTCCTGCCTTATGCTGCGTGTTTAGGCATGATCCAGCACCCCGTAGAAGTGACGGATTCCGGTACCATCAACGAGGCCAGCCACGGTATCTCCGTCCCTCAGGAGACAGAGAGGGTGATAGAACTGACGCCTGCAAAGCCGGAGAAAGCACTCGCGCTGGGAGGTGGTAACGAAAAGCATGGACTGATATGGTACACGCGGGGGTTGGAACGACTGGTGGGCAAGTTAGCGATGAGATTTGAAGCATGCGGCTCGCGCATCTCGACACGGACTGTCGGCAGAAGGCCATTGAGGTCCCAGCTGTTGAAGAATTTTTCGACCAGCAGCCAATCAATATAAGAAGTGACATCAAGGAGTATGCTCCTCGGCCATGGCCGATTGGCCAAGTGGTGTCACCGATGACTGACGACAAAGCCGCCATAGGCATTATAGTTGATGTCGTTTCAGTGAGATCTGAGCTCGAACTAGAGCAATACGGAATGAGATCGCTGGTCGAGTACTTGGCAGAATCCAGCTTGACTGTGGATCACTTAATTTAGCTGCTGGAGGATGTCCGTGATTGTGGTTTCCTTTCGTTCGCTGTCAAGTACCTCCTGGAGATGTTTCTCAGCTGATCAAAGGTTGTGGATGACGTCTTGTGCACAGCCCTCTACGCTCATTGCCAAAAAGATACCAAACGATTTCTTCAGGCCGTATACGACGCGATGTATGTGCATGGCCTCGACATAGGCACCTATGAAAGGGTCCATAGTTCGGTGTCTGCAGTGTTACTTAAGCCTCTTCCAACCCTTCATAAACTGAATTCAGACGTCATGCTGGATGGACGTGACGATCTCGAAAGGATACGTTAGAAGCTGCGCGCTCGTAGCATGATATGTAGCTGAGACGTAAACATCGAACAACGCTGATACAATTCTTTCATCCCGGTAGATGCCTCTCCTTGGTTGTTGCTTGTGCGAGGTCATAACGACGGTAGCGAAGCAGATGTGATATCTGCACAATACGTTTCGCAGCGTCTTTGCAGAGGGTAACCATCGTCGAAGGACGAGATTTAGCTGTTGTCATTGCTACATGTTTCGTCCGTTGGCACCAAACAATGCAGAAAATAAAACTAATTTACCACAAGGATGAGAAAAAATAAGGAGGGGAATCATAGGTACACAAACCCGCCCTGGGATGCGCACACACCCAGGCGGACTGTCTGAATTGATCGTCGGCGCTATCCATGCCGTACAACCAAGCACATAGAAACCAAAGTATCATGTTTTAAGTTAAAAAGCCCTGCGATCTCGGCAATGACCAAGACTTGTCTTACGTGCGTTTTGGATGGCGCAATACTGGACAATTACGCGGCAGATTTGTAAGCTTTCAATCTTTAGACTGCTGCACTTCAGCGGACTGCTTGCACATGCATTATCCAACGCTCAATAACTGCAGTAGTAATATTACCCGCCTCCGTTCATGTCCGATGGAGCAGGTCGCATTCGACGGATCGCAGTGGCAGACCGATGTAGTACTGATGCGTAATGATCAGTTATATTCCATATGAATCACGTCGAGATACATAACGAAATCGACTAATCGAGTCGGCCTAGTGCCTTTGCATACTCGAGTGGTCGCCGGACTGACACCAAAATGCAAATTGCGTCAAACATCGGGTCATTGCGGTAAAATGTGCAGCAGTCGCACCTTCCGCGTTACAACTAAGAAAAGTCAAATCAATAAAAGCGATGGCATGCTGCAGCTTTTATGTCAATGTCAGGCATCAGTTGAATCTGCATTGAGTACTTGCCTTTGTGCAAGACATAGCGATTGTCCAAAAGCGTGATAATTTTGGACGATCGCAACATTCTGACGATCAAAGTACTACTATCCCGCCGTGGTGTAGTCTGGCCTTACACCAGCTTTAAATAATGCAAGAGAAGCCGTGGCCATGGTCATGATCGCAGTGCTCAGGAAAGAATCGAATCGCCTCAAAAGGCACATCGTAGTCAAACACACTCAGCACGATGACAAGAAGGGAAGTGTAGTAGATGTTGTAACGTTAAAGTCCCAAATTCTGGCCGGAAGAGCCCGTGCAAGACAGGGTGAAGTATCGCAGTGATTACAGCAGCGTTCGCTGGAACGAAGACACTGGCCAATGTGACAAAATATTATATTAATAAATGTAAATAAATTTTATTTTCTCAGTATTCTTGAAGAACATGTACACAACAAGAAAGGTTACAGAATGTTGACTGATCGTAAGCTCTACCCACCCACACACTATGTATGATCGGCAACATTTCAAATTATGGCAAGTAGCCTCACACAAAACATGTGACACTATTTTGCATATAAAGCTTAGTATCAACACGGACTTCCCGCAGTGATCACCACAGCCTTCTACACCCGAAATCGTTAATGTTACGTAAGTTTGTGCTCGATTGCAACGTGACTCACTCTGTGGGCGACTGCAGTCTTCATTTAACCATGTCGAACGAACGAAACGAAAGTCGCATTATATGACACACTATCAGTTTAGGTCTCGCAAGCGGAGCCGCCGGGGGCAGTGCCGGCACCAACTTGCATCATGTGCTGCGCCCCACCAATCGTCTGATCATAGACCTCACATATGCTCGAGGAAGGTGTATTCCAGACGATGACGCCTATCCGAGAACCTGCATGTAGCCATGTCGCTTTTTACGTTCATTGACACAGATGCCTGGATATAAATCGTTGCACGAACGTGTCAAACAAACGATTGGCTCGTACTTTACGCATGCGCAACCGCGCATGAGTTACCTCATTCGCTGATGATGCTCTTGCTCACTTAACACGAGTTCTTATCCTGTAAATCCCATCTTTCTGCCTTTCGTCGGTTCGCACGTGCCTCTCATCTGTTTTCCGCCCTTTCCATCTGCTGGCCCGGCTCTCGGCCTCTCAACACAAAACCTGCGCCAGATGGCACTAAAGTGCAAGTTGCCATTCGAGTCAGGATTAACTCACGTGCGCGATAGAAACGACGTACCCCCTTGGTTGCTACATCAGAGGACGTCACAAGTCTCATTTGCTCCTCTCACTGACCAATTAGAAACGACTGTCGTCTATTTGCTCACATCACACAGTCTCTCTCTCTCTCGCTCGTCCTCCCGACCCGTCAGCGCCGGGATCGCAGTCACCGTCGCCCGTCCGAGCCTCCATCCATCCATCTATCAGTTCTCCAAGTCCATTCCCTGCATCGTCTGCTGCCCGCAACGCCGTGTAACTCTCGCGCTATTTCCGCTGTCAGAGTCCGTTGTTTGTTTCCCCGTTTGAAGCAGCACGTCGGGTCGGGAATCTCCGTGTACCCCTTGTGTGTACCCCTGGCGTAACCCCGCCCTCCCCTAGTCCTCTTTTACCCACACATTGACAGAACACATAAACACACTCACATGGCGCTGGTAAACCCCGAGTTGTGGACGCCCCAACAGGTGCAAGAATGGCTCAAGCGCTTTGAAAACGGTCGCTTTGCACACTTTATTGGTCCACTGAAGGACCGCAAAGGCGCAGACATTGTGCGCTTTAGTGCTGCTGACTGGGCGCAGCTGACGCCTCAAGACCTGGCCACGAGTCTTCGCTTTACGCTGCTGGGCATGGTGCAGGTGGCTACCCATGACGAGCCATTGGCCATTGTGACCGACTTTGTGTCGTTAGTTGGGCACTCACCTGGAAAGATCAAGAGGGAGAAGGATGCACTCACGAAGACGGTGCCAGTCAAGTTCCCGCCCATGGTGGAGCTGCCGTCGGTGCCCGTGATGGTCTGCATCCTGCTGTTTGGTGTCCTGATTGTGCTGTGCTTTACCGTACTGCGTCAACCGCTTTCGGACGTTGGCATTGAGTCGAAAAGTCTCTTGAAGTATGGCTCCATCCCACTTGTTAGCGTAGTGTTTACGTACTTCCACATTTGGATCGCGCTGTGGATGACGTTCTATCCACTTGTGTACACTGGGTGTTTCCAGATTCCGAAGACCAATGTGGGCCTTGGGTGGCAGGGGATTGTACCGCACAAAGGCGAGAAAATGGCTCGTCAGGCTGTGCAGATTATGACGCGTCAATTGCTGGACGTGTCGGAGATTTTTTCGAGGATAAAACCGGCACAAGTCGTGCGAGAGCTGGAACCGATAATGTTTAATATGATCCATACGGTCGTGGAAGACATGGCGCTGAAGTACAGTCCCGATTTGTGGGCTGTGCTGCCGGCCAGGGTAAAAGAAGAGATTGTTGAAAAGGTCAAGGAAGAGTCGCCTGCTCATATTGAGGCGCTCATGGACGAGATTCGCAACAACATCGAAGATGTTTTTGATTTGGAGGACATGGTGGTGACCAACATGTGCAAGGATAAGCAGCTTTTGGTGAACATGTTTGTGATGTGCGGCTACTCCGAGCTGGCTTTTATCCGAAACTCAGGTGCCTACATGGGAGGGATTTTCGGCCTCATGCAAATGGGGGTTTGGTTCGTATACTCGGATCCGATTGTTGTGTTCCCCGTGATCGGTTTGCTTGTGGGCACTGTCACGAATTGGCTCGGTCTTAAGATGATTTTTGAACCCGTGAATCCCCGGAAATATTGCGGTATTACTTTTCACGGTCTGTTCTTGCGGCGTCAGAGCGAAGTTGCCGAGGTCTATGGAAGAATGGTTGCTCGTGACGTTTTAAACTCACGGAACATTTTTGAGGCTATACTAAAAGGTCCGTACTCGGATCGTCTGTTCGAGCTCGTGTACGACAACGTCCAGGAGGCTGTTGATGCTGCTACTGGGACAACGCAAAAGATTATCAACTTCAGTATTGGCAAGGAGACGTACGCTAATATTAAGGAAGACGTGACCAATCACATTGTGGAAATCTTCCCGGACAGTCTTCGTCATATCGAGAGCTACGCCACGGCTGCTATGGACATGGAAGTGACGCTGCGAGAAAAGCTGAAGCTGTTGACTTTTGAGCAGTTCGAAAGCCTGCTCCACCCCATTTTCGAGGAAGATGAGTGGAAACTTGTGGTCATGGGTGGTGTCTTAGGCGTTGTGATTGGTATTGTCCAGGTTTATCTTATCGAGCACTGATGGGCTGATGATAGATGTCGCCAAGGAGGATGATAGCATACGACTACGTGTCCGTCGTCCGTCGGCGTCTCTCCGTAGTGCATCACATGTAGTCACTGCAGCTTTATCGATGCTTGAAAAGGATAAATTATCGATTCATGCGTATTCATTCATTTTGGTACCCTTTTCATTTTACTCAAAGATTTTGGCATGCAAGAACACTAGCTTAGCTAAGTTGGTCGACTCTGCATTGACAAACCGGACACACCTTGTTCAGGGATAGCCACAAATCAATGCAATCGGAGTGATACGAGTGAAAACACGGCAGCGACTTGATCTCCTCGCCGACCTCGAAGCCGCAGCGGCAGATCAAACAGCTGGAGACAACGGCGGTGGCAACTAAGTGAGTACTAAGATCATGGCAAGCAAGACACATACTGACGTACTCTGGAATGCCATAATCATCGTGGTCTTTGGCCGTGCTGAAGATGTACGTGGGAAGCTGGTTCAGAAGTGATGAAGATGCACCGCGACTATATCAAGCAGAAGTAGCGTTCTATTAGTGCAGCTCTTTTCGAGTAGCGTCCGGCAAACGATATTTGACGCACGATTTTGTGTGGCCGTGCTGGCCGTGGGCGTCGCGAGGCGTCTCGTTCGCCTCAGTTTCAATGCTTACTGCAGGCACAAATCGAAACGTGACACAGCCATAATCGTACAGGTATTACGCTGAGATCGGCTTACCGATCCGAAAATCCAGGCTTGGTCGAATGTCAGTCACCAAAAGTCCTCGCACAAACTATAGCAGGGCAGCTTGTCAATCTTACAAGCCAAACGATATATCACGATCAGCATGTTACGTACTTCGTCATCATAATTATTCCCCGGCGTGCCTGACGCATAGTAAATCCATGTCAGCAACGTCTCAAACCACACCATTACGTAAGCCCATTCCAATGCGTACTCAGATCAGTTTCATACAAATGCTGCAACCATCGCGCGTACTCCTCGTCAAAAGACATTCTTCCTGTAGCCAGGACAACGTCGTATGAGAAATCATCCAGCAGTTGCGGTACAACAAACACATACCTGCACCCATGTCAAAAGAAGACGGCGCGTTTTCATCCAGCAACTCTTCACTCGCTCCCATCATTATTACCCGCTCGCGAATAGCATCGGGAAGCACGAAGCGGAACAGATGCCGCAGTGGTAACACTTTCGTTTCGCCACAGGCAGCATTCACGTGAAAGAGTAGATACATATCGACTCGGTTTCTCTCCGTCTTCCGAATCACATCAACTTTCTCTAAATTGAGATCCCCAAATGGTGTCCGAATACCAGGTTTCCCTAACAAAAACGTGACAGTACTTGGACCATCGTACCGCATCACCTTTGTACGACTGTCTCGTCGTCGTTGCACGGCGAATGTACTAGAATGAGCTAAATCCCCGTTTGCACGTGCACTCGCCACCGACGCATCTCCATCGGAAAGAATCTCGTCCATCTGTCGTACTGGAAGAGGTGGTTCCATGGCCGGAAAAGCGCCGGGGTTGTGAGAATACAGAATACGAATCACAAACTGCTTGGGCAAGGAGAAGGTGGATGAAATGCAGTCAAAGTCGCCGTTTTCGAGATGTAGAGTAACGGCGCCTTGGTCGTTTTCGTCAAGTCCCATCTCACCTTCAACAAGCTGAAGCTCTAGCAAAATGCTTGCATGCAGTCGGCATTCAAACAGTAACTCCCCCTGTCGTCCAAACGGCAAGTGGTACATCTTAAACATCAGATCACTGCAATTTTCCAATTGCCTTCCCACCCAAACGGTGTGCACCCCAGAACGAAGATCCACATCCCGGACACCATTCACCATGCTGGAAAACAAAACTCCCTTATCACTTTGGATGACGAAATATGGCCGACAGGTGTCAGCGATTGGCAACGCCGTAGCTAACGTTGGACTAGAGGCATCATTCGCACAATCAGGACTCGATAACAAGTCAATTTGACGGATATAGATTGATCGAGGTGCCGGTGTAACAGCAATGCCTGTCAGCTTCTGCTTCTTCTCCTCCAGCGCAGGCGAGTCTGCGCAGTCAACCAACTTGCGGTCACGCATCTCCAGCAATTTCCCGAAGTCAGCAATGTATCGTGCCTGAGGCCTGGGCAATCCGCCGGTATACGCTGCATTTTTTGGATCAGTGCCACTGAACGTGCGCTGGAGCTTTGCGGGCCACGATTCTGCCACTCTCACGTGCTGCAAGTACGCGCGCAGTAGATCGTTTCCGAACTTTTCGGGGAAAGAAGACGCGTCCGTGCAGTAGAACGTACAACACGTTGCAAACACGCTCATTTGCTCGTTGTTTGGTGCGAGCAAGATCGCAACGTTCGATGGATGCAGATCCAACCACGCAGCGACTGTCGAGGTGATCACGAATCCAGAATGCATCGACGGGATCGGGCCACGACAATACGGTATGGATGCAATCCGCCCATCTGTCACACAAGCATATCACAATGCACTCTTCAGTCACACAACCTCCGCTGTCAAATTCAACCAAGCGACGAAAGAGCGAAACGACGTACCGCAAAACTCATCAAACACCAACGCCTTGTGATGCAAGCGCTTCACTCCGTCAAACAAGCCGCAGTCAAACACACACGCTCCCTCTTTAAACCTGCGCAAGACACCAGTGTTATCGATACTATCACCCTCGTTCTCCTGCTCAGCTAGCACAACCCGTCCTCACCTTTTCGACATTTGCAAATCCAGTTGCGCGAGTATCTTGACCGCCGCGTTCCAATTGCGCGCCGACGAGTACGTTCCAAACAGCCGACTGAACGTCGTGATATGCGGTGGCGCCACGCAAAACACTCTGCAACAATACCAACGTCCAACACAATACCAACTTGTCAGCACACCTAGTACCTCACCCATCTCGATCTCTCTCTGTCACTCTCACCAACCTCGGTGCAATCTGGATAAAGCATCCATCTTCACTGGTCTTGGCAAACAACGCATACTGCACGGCACTATGCAACGAAGCCTGGAGTCGGTACGTCCACAACAGTACTCGGTACGTGTTGGGCGCAGCATTCTCGCTCTCCTGCTTCACGTCGTCCGCGTCTTTCGCAGCTTCAATGGCTTCGAAACTCTCCTGAGCGTCCAGTAACAGCGACGAACTCGCTCGCTTCACTTCACTGTCTTCACCTCGTGCTTTCTCCTCGGCAATCGCTTCCATCGCCATCACTTCCGTAGGAGACGGAGGCAGCGACAACTGGAGCAGCAGCCGACGGACGCGCGGATCTTCGGCCACGCGCTCCGAGTTCATGCGACGGACGAGCACCGAGCCGCGCTCGACCCAAGCCAAGCTCTCGGGGAACGGCTGCTCACTTGTCATGCGTGGTAGAAAGTTAGCAAGTGACGGACTGTCAGTGGTCAATCAAGAGATCAAGAAGGGATCAGTCAATTGGTCAATCGACGACAGGGAAGAGCGAGGACCTCCAAGCTTATTCCGTTCTCTTCAGTAGAGCGGGTTTTGTCTTTTGATAATTCACCACTGCGACAACAGCATGTCGTGAACAAGTAGCTGATGATACTCGAGAATCTATCGACTAGGACTATCCGGTGCATCTGTGTAAGTATACACTCAGCTGCTGCTTACATTCGCTGGACTCACCAGCTGGATGGATAAGGATGGGCAAAGTGTTCCTTCATTTGGACAGACGATGGTCGTATCTTGCAGTCAAAAGCCCAGCCCAGCCCAGCTGAGCGCACGCACAGCCACAAACCACACGCATCAACACACAAATCGTCACGAACGTGATATAAAACAGAAGCGCGTCAGCCATTTATCCGCTCGCTCGACACGCGAATGCGCTTCGGCTCCACGACGCAATTCCTTCACTTGTCCTACTACTTGCGCGGGGGCGGCGCCATGTTCTGCGGCAAAGCCTTGCCATACCCGGATCGAAACGTTGTGCCCATACTGCCAGCATCCTCGTTCGCCGGTTTGTTTGACGGCTTGGCCCACTCCAGCTTCAAGATCAAGTGATCGTAGCCGTGTCCCTGCAACTTGTTGAGTGCTTTCTCCGCGTCTTCGCGGTACACAAAGCTGACAAAGGCAAAGCCACGCGACTGGAACGTCTCGCGGTCTTTGGCCAAATACACACGGGACACGGGCCCGAACGCACAAAAGAGCTCCTTCAAATCATCTTCCCGCGTATCCGGCGACACGTTCGTCACCCGCAGCGTCGCGCTGTCATCCCGCACGTTCTCGTCCCGCACATCACCGCTAGCACCGCCAATGCGGCCACGCAGACTAGGCGGCACGTACTTGCTCGAGCCGAATGCTCCGTCGAGAGCCGAGCCACGACCACCTGAGTCAGCAGCAGCTCCAGCTCCAGCCGGAGCTGCTGAGTCGCCGGCTTCTGCCCGCTTGGCCATGTCCTGCTCCATCTCCTCTTTAGGCGTGTCTTTGTACGGACACTTGAGCGTCCAGTGGTCGCCCACCATGCCACAGTGCCGACAGACGACAATGGACGAGTTCTTGACGCCGGCAAAGATGTTCTCCTCCTCCTTCTTCTCCCCAGGCAGCACCTGGTCCGCGTTCGGGTCCTCCAGCGTCACCTCTTCGTACGACATGTACGTCACGTTGCTGCTGTCGCCGTCGTCCAGCGCGTCACCGAATTTGCGCCACTTTTTGCGTTCCAGCGCGCGTTTACTGACGCGCTCGATCTCCGTGACTTTCTTGACCTTTTTCGTCACTTTGACCTTGTCGCCGGCCTCGTTGAGCTTCCACTCGACGATCTGACGCACGCCGTTGGAATCCGGTGCGCTCTCGACGCGCTGCGGGAGCAGATCGTCCTCCTCGTCGCCCCAGCGCATGCCCGACATTGTCATCTTTTCGTGGTGATAAGGAGACTGGAGTCGGTGGGTGGGTGGGCTCGCGTGTTTTTCACTGGTGGGTAGTATGGGGGAAATGTTGTGTCGTCCACCCCACGCAGCGCAAAAGGGGAGGAGAGGGCAGATACCCGCGGACAGGGTCCTGTTTTGAGTGAAAAATGAGGATTGTGTTTTGGGTTTTGTTTTCTGCTTGGTTTTGGATGGGACTTTTTTGGGTCCTGCCGTCAGTCTCATCAAAGCACTATCGATCGCATTCCCCTCTACTACTCATGGCAGGAAATCTAATCCGCTACACATAAGCTCTTGCAGCAAAAACCACTGTTGCGAATGTCGGATGCTGAGTGGGCCTTTCGGCATCCGATCACAGCTCGAACTGTATTTGTACAGTGCTCCCTCAATAAATTTGCTCTACATTGAGTTATAAGACTTCCGCTAAATCAAGTATGACGTTTAAATTTGGAAGTATTCCTTCATATATTTGGCTCTTTGCAGCACATACAAAGCACTACTGTCGATGATTTTTTGCCGGGGAAGAACCTGCTTTGACCACACGTCAATTTAACGTGCGTTGCAAATATCAGGACGAAGGTTGCATATAACCCTATAAGCGTCTAGGAATCATCGAGCAGGGAGCGTGCATCACGTAGGGAATTGATCTATTCGGTCCCTTTGTGAACCTTTTCGCTACGGATGCCACATTTTTCATGACTCCACTGTTTTCTTGTCCTATTTTGACAGTTAGCCTCTACTTAAATCTCGCCTTTGGTCACCCCAGCTGAACGTTCTCATTCTCACTATGTGACCGAAAAGCTCCGAAATCGACACGGGGTTCCGAACTTATTGCTGTACAAAGTACAGCGATTGAGCAAGCGAGTTGTGCAGTAAGTTACATGTAGCTTTACCACGAAGTAGTTTAATGATGGGAGGGATGACATCTTGTTCAAGGGAGGGTCTGTCGCGACTCCACAGAGGTCGAAAGAGAAATTTGAGCATAGGTTCGCTCTCTTCTTTATTGTCAAAGAAGAGAATGAACTAAGCGTCTTACAGCACCTTTCGCTCAATTGAGAGTCGGCTGTACTTGTCGTTTAAGGTGCCCGTAACATCTCATCCTTGATAAGGTTCTATACTTTCATGTCAATCCCTCCATCCGTTTTCCTGTATTCTTGGTCCTTTGGCCTTCGGGGCTGTCTTATCATTTGCTTGAGGTCGTCCGCTCCCCACGGTGTTTTGTTCGATGGGGAAACTGATTGCTCTACGTGAACATCGGCCGGCGGGTACTGCAGCCAGAGCCGCGCGTGGGTCTCCACGCGTGTGTTGAATCACGAAATTAAGACCCCTAAGGGCACCCGATTTCACGAGACGTCAGTTACGACAAGCCGCCGACCCCGGCGCTTGTGTCGCTTAAGACATTTCAGACACTCTTGCTCATGTCAACAAAAAAAATCGACGATCATGAAACTCCAACGTGGTTGAATCAATAGGCAATGGTGGTGGCTCAGATCTCGGCATAGGGGCAGATACCGACATGCGCAGGTCAGCTAGTCGGTCGAATTTGTCGACTACTTCACAAGTCTCGTCACAATCGATCGCATGCTGCAGATGAGTAGCACCGCTTACAATGGTCGAGACGATACCTGCACCATCCTCTCGATCCGGCTACCAATTTGGTAGAAAGGCTAAAAACTGGACGCAAGCTTATGTCATCGTTGACACACTCGCAGTATCGGAAGTTGATGATAGACACTTTCCATCCCCCGCAAAGCTTCAGCATCCAAAAATAACCACATGGAAATAGGAGCTAGGTGGCGTGTCCACACTTTCGATGAGGTGTCAAAACTGCTGAGGGAATTGCAGGTAACAAGTACCTCTGTCAGAAGTCTAGAGATTGGTTTATGCGGATGTTAGCTTCGCGTTCCGTTTGGTGTTGATTCGACTTAATAGCGAAGTGACATCCAAGTTGTTTGCTGCGGCTCGCTTTGTATCGATTGCTGTAACTCGTGCATTCAACCACACAGTAGTCTGATACATTCTAACCTTTGCCAGCTGATTGAAATGATCGCATGCGACCCCACAACATATCGGTGGGAGAGTTGAGATTCTATCAATAATCTTCTAGTCAAGACTTGAACGCAAGAACGAGCCATGCTCAACAATTCCCGCATGTCCATTGATTACGTGGTTGTACCCAATTACATTATTGACGTTTGGGTTGTTTCGGGAGACCCAGATCACGAACGCACAGACTAGGAGCAGCTTACAAGCATCGAGCCAAAAAGAGCAGGTTTGTTGTCAATTCGGAGCATCTTTTTTTGACAAACGCCTAAAATCGTTCTGGCAGGTGTAGCCATCACTCGCCCTTTGCATGGGTAAGGCTGTACGTGAGGGTCGCTGCGCGCAGGTCGTGGAGGCGTTCGTACTGGCCATAACCGCCTCGTGGGTCACATACTTATTTCACAAGATCCACGAGGATCCAAGGAGGGAGTCGCTATTGGTGGAACAACAGCTGCTGCAGGCGTCACGCGCACTCGTGGTTGTGCTGTTGCTAGGATTATCCGCCTTCTTGTGGTCTATGCTCAGGCCGCAGGTTTTATCCAAAGCTTGTAAAAAAACGTCGTGCAGGTTTGTGTTTCGTAATCATGAATTTGAAAGACCCTAAATTGTCATTAAACTGAAACAGCAGCAATTATCGTTTTATGATGCTGTAGACAAGAGCGCGATGCTGGACTTGTCGTGGGCTGCATACAGCTGCCTCTGGCTCTTTTTAGCCGACTGCTGGTAGAGGTTTACCACGACGGCTATTTCTCAAGCTTCACGTACTTTTACGCGTGGACTAGTACTTCGATTGGTGTCAGTGTGTTGCTCAAACTTGCAGTGTTTGGCACAGTGACTTCGTTTCGTGTCTCTACCCTCGTGGATGTGGTGCTGTTACCGATTGTGTTCAGGATATTCAGTCCAATTGAAGCTGAGTGGAGGTTTTTGCTAGCTACTTGCGGACGCGTCACTGTAGCTGCCGTGCTGGCTGTTGGTCTGAAACTTCTGCCCCGGTCGTTTACTATCGGGGAAGCGCTGCTCGTTGTTCAAGGTGTTGGTCTGTGCTTTTGCGACCTCGTGCTGACTACGATAACTAGAGTATGGTTCGGGAAACATGTGCTGATTGGAGTGGACGAGATCGCTGACGTTTTATCTCTTGTCGTGGTGTAGCTAAGTGAATGCCATTTCATCAACTTACCACCGGAAGTCCTTCGTCCGTGGCTCATTTTCGATATCGAGCGGCTGGACCACGTGCTGGCCATGCAAGTTGGAATGCTGGGGTCGCTGCTAGTATGCGTAGCTTTGATTCCGCTGTTGCAATCGTACGGATCTCCGTCGCCCACTCTCGTTGCACAGCCGTTGCATGTGAAAGGAAGTGTGGGCGTTGTACTCACAACTACAGTGGTGGCCTGCGGCGTGGTATATCCGTGGAGCTGTTTCTTGCTGCAGACGTGGAATCCGTTTGCATGGCTGCTTGACTTCCTCAATGAGCCTAGCAGCTTGTCTGTCTTCGTACCACCACGATTCGCATTGATGGGATACTGGGCGTTTTGTCTCGTCGTTTTTGTCCCGCTGTTCACGTTGATCTCGAGCCACTATGATTTACGGAACATAGTTGCACGAAAGCTGTTCCACCTGTTGGTGGTACTGATGCTCGGCCCCGCATCGCTTCTCGATGCTCACATGCTGTCTTTGAGCTATGGTGTGGCTCTTGGCATTTTCTTTCTCCTGGAATGCGTGCGCGCACTGGCATTGCCGCCCTTCGGTCAGTCACTTGCCTTGTTTTTGCGGACGTTTATCGATCATCGCGAAGCTGGACGTGTCATCCTGACGCACTCCTATCTGCTCCTGGGAAGTGCATTGCCACTGTGGCTTGCTCCGTCTTCCAGTAAATCTTCTGCGCTCGTTATGAATGCTGGAGTACTTGCACTGGGTACTGGAGATGCGATGGGGGCCGTGGTCGGTTCGAGTATTGGTAAGCGTAAATTCTTCGGGAGCAAGACAGTGGAGGGTTCAATGGCCATGTTCGTTTCGATGATGCTTGCTTCGATGCCGCTTCACGATTACCATATACGCTCGTTGGTTTACGGGGAGCACGTTCAGGTACGATATCTGTAATGAAGCTCTGAAAGGGACGTAAATTGAGGACTGATGGATTTTTGTCTTCTGCAATGCTGGCAGTTAACGCTGCTGACTGCAGCAATCCTTTTGGTCAGCGTACTAGAGGCCGCAACAGCGCAAATCGACAACTTGGTACTCCCGCTCTATTTTTATACAGCGTGCAATTTGGTGAGTTGTCACCGCTCGTGAACGAAATGGAGTGACGTTTTTCGCCGGTTGTGAATGAAATGAAGTGGATACTGTTGCCATCGTCTTCTCGATGTAACAAGTTCTGTCGAGGTTCTGCTCTTGACTCAAACCTGTTTACATTGTCCGTTCCATCAGTTGTCCCTACTGGTCGAATACCGTGCGTATTCTAGACTGCTGCTGTCAAAGACTATGCTATTCGGGTCTCGAAGGCTGTTGCTACTTGGTCATACGAATCAAGTGGTTGGAAGTCATTGACAGCGTGCGGATCCAGGTCACTCTTGGCGTGAGGGTAGAATTCCAGCTTTCGAAGTACAACGTCAACCGAACAAGAGAGTAGGGCGGCTGCCGTAGAATATCCGAGTCACAACTTGGACATCGCACAAAGATGCTGTCACAACTTATTGGCGCTTGCTTCTCTATCCAGTCCGCGCAGCTCCTCATTCGTACAAAGCGCATCTTGCCTGATTATCGGGATTGAAAGCTTGATCGCCACGGTAGCAAAAAATCGTCTGACCCTTTTGGTACAAGCGGCCAGTCATTTGTCAAAGTCAAGATTGCTCGATGGGTCAGCCTCGAAGTCAGCGATTACACACACATCAAGTAAGAGACTTGCATAGGACGAAGTCACGTGACACTTTGTCTAGCATCGTGGACTCAATTTGTAGGTAAAACGTCAGCGCTCGAGAACTTCAAGTAATGACAGGACTGCATACCAAAATTGCAGCCATAGCCCATGATTTGTAGCTCGAAGTTGTCATCGAATCACGCGCACACGTTGTAATGATCTTTCTGGCATTCAACGTAATACCCGCGCGGCAAATACTGTTAGCTCATGTTTCTACCATTATCTCCTCCCCACCATCAGCCACAAGCTGTACGTACGACGACAAGACTGTAGTGATAGCCACATACTTGTGAGCTGGGGTTCCTATATCAAAGATTGATCGAGCTTAAATCGCTAAGACGTAGCACGTCCATACTTGATTGAGTAGTGTTGAACGCTGAACATACGTACTTCGCGGTAAAGCGTCTCACCTTTTCCGTATACCATCTACCCTCACCTACTGTCTGCTTTCCATGATAGGCTTTCTGCATCAAGTAAACACTCAAGTACCACTCGTTGTCAAGCGACAGATGAATCGCTTTCGTTTTTGCAACCTAAGCGAATGTCAGTGCACCCAGCGACTGCTCCAAACCATCCATGGCATGCTGGATCGTCTCCATCGACGACGCGTATGAAATGCGTAAACCGTTCTTCACGCCAAAAGCTGAACCAGGCACCAGAGCCACGTGAAAGTGGCGCAACAGGTACTCGCAGAAGTCGTCCGTGTCGTTTACCACCTCACTCTTGTCCGCCGTCGTTCCTTGCTTGCCCTCGAAGATCAAAGACAAATCCATAAACACGTAGAAAGCCGACGTGGGGTACGCAAAAGCGAGCTGCGGGATCCCTTGCAAGCGCTTCACAACGTACTTGCGCTTCTCGTCCATAATCGCCAACGTCTCTGTCATGCGCTCCTTCTTCTGCGACACACACTCCATCTCGAGCTTCATGGCATCTACAGCTGCTGCCTGGCCGACCGAGTTCGCGCACGACGTCAACTGGCCCTGCAGCTTCGTGCACACCTGCACAAAATACTTGGGAGCCGCGAGGTAACCAATACGCAGACCCGGCATTGCGTGCGACTTCGAAAAACCATTCACTGTCAGCGTGCGCTCGTACATGCCCGGCAGCGTCGCAAAGCTTTGATGCTCGCGCTTTGTCTCGCCCTCGTCCTGGTAAATCAGCTGTTCGTAGATCTCATCGGCAATGACCAGGATGTGCTGGAATCGAGGCTTGCGTAGAACTACAGCAATGTTCTCTAATTGAGCCGGCGAATGGACAGTGCCGGCAGGGTTGCTCGGATTGCACAACATCAGCGACTTCACACGCGAGTTGGCTGTCAGCGCCTCCTCTAGCTTCACCGGATCGATCAGATAGTTCTCCGACAGCTTCGTCTGCAGGATTACGGGCTCACCACCTGTCAGCTTCACCATCTCCGGATAGCTTACCCAGTACGGTGCAGGAATCAGCACCTGCTCGCCGGGCTTCGTAATTGCTAGCAGTGCCTGGTACACGGTCTGCTTTGCACCATTCGAGACAAGGATCTCCGTCAACGGGTCGTACTTCAGGCCCTTGCACACTTCCAGATACTGTGCGATCAGAGCGCGCAGGTCTGCCGTGCCCTTCACATCCGTGTACTTTACCTTGCCCTGCTCCAGCGCCGCCATACCAGCTCTCAGTACGCGCTCCGATGGGGCAAAGTCAGGCTCACCCACACAGAGCGACCACACCTGCTTGCCTTCTGCCTCCAGCTGCTTCGCCATACCGTGGATCACCACTGTTTTCGACGCTGCGACTTTACTCAGCAACGGGTTCAGTGGATACTTCTCCATCATTGAGGCATCCTCACGGGGAAAAGACGGAGTGGTCTGGTTGTCGCCGAGTTGTTGCGTGACTTCGTCGAGAGATTCACGAAACTTCTGGATTTGCAGCTCGGAGTTGGGGTTATACTTGTAGAGTCCTTGAAAGAGATCAAAGCTATCCTTACATGTGTCATCCACAAGTCGCACAAGGTTCTTGAAACCTCGAGTATCAATAGGCGTGTTTTTTACACCCTGCACGCTGAGAATTCGACCAGTTAAGTGCGTCAAGAATTGACTGCTGGCAGCATACTCGTCGTGGGACTCGCACGTCATTTCCAACATGCGGCACATTTCCGTATCAAAAATGCGTAAAAAGTTGTCCATCACACGGTTGTGCTCACCGGAAACGATCCGCACCTTTTCGTACATCATGGGTAAACCTCTCCACGAGTACTTTCCGCTTTCGGGGCCAAACATCGGGTGTGTGCACAAAATGCTCGCACTCTGGGGCAATTCCTTGAGCAAAACATGTTTCGGGTGTGTCTTCACCGACAACACATCCACAATCACAAGATTTTCCAGCAACTGCTTCGGGATTTTGCTGAGCACATACTCGAACGAGAGAATGCTGACGCCCAGCATAAGGACATCCAGTCCGTAAAAAAACTGCTCCAGCTCTGTGGACGACGCATAGTACTTGCATCCAAGCTGCGCGGCTGCAGCAGAGTAGTCTGTACGTGACGTAGCCCGGACCTCATGCGACTTGACCATTGTCTTGGCCAGAAACTGTCCAAAGTTGCCAAATCCGTAGACGCCAATGCTCAAGCGCACTGGTGCTTTCACGCATGGCACCATGGCTGGCGAGGCAGTGATCGAGTTGGCTTGGTACGCACCAGCCGCTTCCAGTGTCTTGCGTACCTCGCCTAGCAGCTTCCCCTTCGTCGGGTACGACCCCAAGACACGCACAAACTTGCAAAATTCGCGCAGGTGCCGCAGTGCATTTACAATGTTTTTGTCCATTTGGTGTCCAATGAGGTCGACGTAGAACAAGTAGCTGTACTTGCGACGGACGTTCTCGGCCGAGAACGAAAAGTCCGCCGTGAACGGCACCGTTGTCACATCAACTGCGTCATGATACTGCTGCTCTGCCGTGTGTCCCCACGGTCGGCTCTCAATCTTGGCCATGTCAATTTCCCGTAGTGAAAACGCTGACAAGGCTTTGTAGAGCTGCCCCTTCTCATTGCTATCCACGAACGAGAACACGAGCGACGTCTTGAACTCAGTCGATGCGTTTGCATCGAGTCCATAGTCCGCTTTCTTGCTCAAGAGCAAGAAGCGCGTGAAATTGCCGGCATCGTCTTCCACGTTGCGCTGCAGCACGTGCAGTCCGTAGTACTCGGCCGCCAAGTCACTGGCCACAACAGCCGTGTCCGTCCATTGGTTGTCCGCCAGCATCTTGGCGCTTCCTGCAGTGTCGTACTCGGCTCGGGGGGTCGCCCCAAGACACGCGATCGTGTGGGCGCATTGGGCCAGGGCTTGAGGGTGGCTAATGACCGTCTTGATGTCGCTCTTGGCCACGCCTGGAAGCGCCAGCAGCGAGTGCTCGACGCGGAGATCGTACTCGCCGACGATCGAGAGGCCGAACTTGAGCAACAGATCGTAATTAGCGTGGATACTCCCGCCGAGCGAGTTCTCAATGGGCACGACCGCAAAGTCCGCGTCGTCGCGCTCAACGGCGAGGAACGTCTCGTCAAAGGAAGGGTAACCCACCGCGACAACGTTCGAGGAGGAGCCGAGGAGCTGCCGCGTCGCTTTCTCCGAGTACGCCCCAGGGACGCCCTGATACGCGACTTTAACTGCACTTGCCATGTTGCGGAGTGAGGAGGAGGTTGTGGGCGTAGTAGTAGTTGTTGTAGTAGGAGCTGTAGAAGTAGTGCTAATAGTAATGATTGGGCTTTTAAATTATAGTAGCTTGGCTAAATTTAGGAGGAATACAAGCGCGAAATAGTAGTAATAGTTGAGCTGCTGTAGGAGCTGGGGCTTTCTAGTGGAAGGATAGTAGAATGTGCATACATAATATCTCAATCAAATGATAACCTCCGCAATTTAATGGGAAGGGTTGGTCCCAACTCGAGACGTTGGTTTTTTCATTAACCTCTACTATATAATTATTAATTTAAAAGCCCAGTCCCGTCCACTTTATATCGCACCTAAAAAATTAGGTTGGGTTGGCTAGCGGATGCAGACAATACGATGTTGCTTTCGCAGACCCTGTCAAAACTATCATGTTTGACAGGCTTCAATGCTCAAGGGATGTACAGACAACTCACAGTTAAAGGGACCAGGATTAAAGACCAACACAGTTTAAAACCGCATTTTACTGGACAAAAAAACACATGCAAAATTTGAATTCATTTTTTCTAACGCACAGCTATCGGACAAAAGAACGTAGTGACGCCCGCCACCCGTCCCGTTCTCCCCACGCAAGGACAATTCGCAATTTTCGAACACCTCCGCAAACAAACACGACGTACGAAGGGCGCCCCGAACGCACCTTCCCTTCGTCCAATTGAGAGCTCTACAGACACACCGGCGAGAAAACCCTGGACTCATGCAAGCCGATCTCTGTCGATAGGCGCTGGGTGAGTTTGGAGTCCGTGTTGCACGGTCCGCGATCAACAGGATTCTGAGCGAGGACATTCCTGTCACCATCAATCCGAGAGCCAACGGCAGCAGAAGGGCAGACATGCCGAGTTGGAAAAAACGCTGTTCCATTTCGTGCTGGATGCTCAAAGTAACGTAACGTTGACCGACTTCATCCTCCACCAGAAGGCCAATCAACTGCTTGAGGACGCAGGTGTAACGACGACGCTCTCGCTTTCGTGGGTGTCGAGGTTCAAAGCCCGACAATGCATCAAGTCTTACCGAATGCATGGAGAGGCGGCCTCAGTCGAGCTAGAGACCCTTCACCAGCGGCGCCAGGAACTCCGGACCCTTCTCGACGGCTACGCGGCGTGCAATGTATTCAATATGGATAAAACCGGTCTATTTTATCGCATGGTGCCTTCGCGGGATCTGGCAACGATGCCTTTGAGTGGCAAGAATAAAGATAAGTCGCGCATTTCGATTGGGCTATGCTCCAATATGGATGGGACTGAGAAGCTGGACCCTATTGTGATCAACAATTCCCTCAACCCCCGTTGCTTATAAGCCACCGAAGTTTCCAAATATTCGTCCACTTCTATGCAAATGCAAAGGCATGGATGACTGGCGGCATCGTTGCACATTGGTTAAAAGCCTCCAATCTTAAAATCAGTGGGCGAAAAGTTCTTCTGATGCTCGACAACGCGACCTCACATGTCAATCTGGAGATATCAAAAGTACACATTTACTTCCTTCCGCCAAATACTTCCTCCCATTTGCAGCCGATGGACGCGGGCATCATTCGCAACTTCAAGCTCAAGTACCAGGTCCAATTCGTGCAGTGGCTACTGGACATGGTGACGGCAGGTACGGAGGACAAGAATCTCGATTTTTTTAGCGCAATCCGTATGATGGTAAAATGGTGGGCTGAGGTGCGCCCTAAAACGGTTCGACACTGTTGGATCCACACAGGAATCGTGTCGGGAGTTATGGCGGCAGTGCTCCGTAGGCAAGACGAGCCGGTCCGTCCAAATGATCTCTCTATCCTGGATAATCTAATCGACAAACTATACTAATCTGATGGAATGAATGCAGGCGACTATCTGGAGTGTACAAATTTTTGGGAAGAATGGAAACCAGACTCCGATGCAACTGCCACCTCCGAGCCATTTTTGCGTGATGACGACAGCGACGGAGACGAAAAATCCAATCTTAACTCATCGCGACGCGCTGAATGCTGCAATACAATTGTCTACGTACCTATTCACACACAAGTTCGATATTGCACACAAGATTGATATTGTGGGGATGCAACTGCTGCCGAGAAATGCAGCCAGCAGCTTCAACAGAGCATGCACCAGCTGCCGAGAAATGCAGCCAGCAGCTTCAACAGAGCATGCACCAGCTGCAAATCACCGATTATTTCTCGAAAGAGTAAGCTCGGTGGCCCATACTGAAAGTGACAGCACTTGCTTAATAGCACGCAAAAATGGAACTGATAATTAATGTGTTGAATTACTTAGATTTCTACATTTTTCTTCACATCTTACTTCCTAGAAACTAATCCCAAATTTTTAATGATGTAGAATATTCCTAATGATTTTATTCAAATATATTCCAAAAGAAACGAAGTGATGTCCTTTATATTGAATTCGATCTTAAGGACACAGCGAAATTATATGGGTAATTTGCGCTCTCTGATTGTGAGTTATCTGTACTGTGTAACGGTATTACCTGATTGGCCAGTGGCCAGATCAGGTGACACATGGGACCACGATGAGGCGATCGGGCAGATGAGACAAGGAGATGCAAGTAGATGACTTGACGAATAGGTTAGCGAGATGGCAACTTGACAGTTGGTACAAGGTGACACGGTTGCAACGTGGGAACACCGTATGAGATGAGCAGGAAGGAAGAATAACATTGGACAAGTACAAGGTCAAATTACAGTGCAGTTCAGGTACAAGCCGTAGCATCGAAATAAGAAATTTTTTAATACTAGATTTGTTTTTTACTTTTGCTTCCAGCAACCTCTGTAAAAGGGCAAACGTAAACGCTTCATAACTCAACAGGGTATGAGCCTGATCGAGTGCTAGATAGCTGCTCAAGATGGATCCGTCGTGATTACCGACGGCCCTGACAAGGACGCCAACAACCACTTGAAAGATATTCTGGCAGCGCCTTTGGGCGGGAAAAGGTGCCAGCTGTGTCAGGAAACGTGTACGAACGGATGAATCGTACGGAGGTCTCTCAGAAAGAGCAAGTCGGTGAAGGTCAAAAGGGTCACCGGAGTCCATTTTCGGCTCGGCCATGGGAGTGGGAGAGGGGGTTAGTCTTTAGGATTCGGAGCGTACCCTTCATACTCCCAAGAAACTCTCGAACGCTTTGCCAGCGACGTACTTTGGAGCACAACTTCACAATCAAGTATATGTCGGTGACCGGCGGATCATGTTACAGCAGACTTCAACATAGGCCTGGAATCTGGACCTGTGCATCACAGGTAGGAAGTGCTTGAAGGTTACTTTTTTGGCGCAGGTATGCCGAGTATGATGTATGTTCATCCTATTCTGCGGGCTTCGGACACGCCAATGGCGCAGCATCGAAAGCTCGAGTCATAACTCTTTGACGGAAAGGAACTCTATCATGGAATTGGTAGTGAGTTCATTGAGTGGAGAAAAAAATTCGTTCGTCAAGTCGGGTTTGCGGAGCATGCATGATGATTCGAGTGGCCGGAGGATATTAAGTGTGATGTCATGGGGCAACATCTGTCCGACAAGGTGCAGATGCATTACCGTCGGCAGATGGAGACTTGGTGGTCTAAAGCCAAACCTTAATGCATGCTATAACAAGGTCGCTTCAGACTTTCAACACCAAGATCTCACGTGCCCATAGTGTGAAGTTGTAAATGGCGTCGAAGGCAGGTCAAAGAAGCTGGACGGACCATATTTGTATTTGACGGCCTTGAACGATGCGTATGGAGGTTTGGACAGCCTAGCTCTAGATATTATTGTCTAGCATGCGAATCCGCGTATGCACGACCATATTGTCCAGGTTTGCCATGCATCACATCGACAGCTTAGTGCAGGCTGAAGTGCTACGAAGTTCGCACAGTCAATGGTAATTGAATTCCATGCGTAAAATCTGGGGTAGAATGTGACCAACGCTTCTGGTCCACGGAAAGACCCAAAGTGTAACGGGGCACCCTTTGTTTGGGGTGCCGCATAACTTTACGCACACTAGTACGTGCAGAGGAAACTATTTTACTCAAACAGATCGTTCGAGTAAAGGTTAGAAATAAAACTGTATTTAAGGTAGTTAAGCTATTCATATAACCTCAGTCTTTATTTAGCTGTATTAATCTGCATTGACGTATGACGACAATCTGCTCACCACTCATCACGCGCGTTTAGCAGCGATTGGTGGCAATCTATGGTTGAAACGTCTTATATCAACCAATCTTGGAGCAGCGCATGAATATTATCCTGCAAAGGGGATAATATCCCTTCAATATTATCCAGCTCGGATAGTATTAGCAGGATGATTGTCACGCTAGGCAATGTCCCTATTGACACAGTGGGGTGTCAATATCATGTAACGGGATACCCCGTTACACCCCTCCATAACCATCAATCACCCGTTGATCAAATTAGAATTGATTGAGACAGGGTGACCACCGTTGGATCACTTGGGTAGGGGAGCACTTGTTGGTCAAACCAACCTAATTTTCTAATTTATCGTATGGTGTCATAGTCCATGCGATATTCTACCGAAGCAGCGAGAAAAGCGGTTGCACTCATACGTGCAGTCGAAGAAAATTCATTTCTTGCTTCAGCAGCAGGTGGTGCTTTGCCTAATGTTGCGATTCGGCAACAGGCGGTGCGTTTTGCGAACATTCCACGTGGTGAGTCGCCACGTGCGACAGATACATTTGCTGCGTCTGCAGCGGCTACTGCAAATCGCCAAGTAGATAAGCCTGGAATCGAGCTAATATTTTCTGGCGAGACGGATGATGCATCCGACTTGAAGGCGACAGCTCACGCCTCCGGATCATCCGGGGCGTACATTGCAAAAGCCAGGTTAACTGGATCCGGGGAATGTGGCGGCAGCATGTCCGAGATCTTCAGACCGAGCGATTCTTATGACGTATCCTTGCCTCACGCAAGTCCATCCAACGATAGGACGCGTGGTGATGGTGGTGACGTATAGTTGCGTCACCACGAAAGAAG